CCAAACTCAAATCCGCCGGCGCTCGCAAATCCCAAGGCGCTCGCAAATCCGCCGACACTCCGAATCCGTCTCGCTTCGGCCCTGGGGCCCCCTTCGCCAAAAGTACGACCACAACAGCAGCAGCAAAAACAGCAGCAGCAACAGCAGCAGCAAAAACAGCAGCAGCAACAGCAGCAGCAAAAACAGCAGCAAAAACAGCAGCACCAACAACAACAGCAACATCACCGCTCCACAACCCGCCACCTTCATCTAGCTCGCCCGAATCGAGCGATGCTGGTCGTCGAAGTCGTCTCCCTTCCCGCTCATACACGCCCAACGTACCAAACTACCTTGCGACACCCACCTCATCCTCATCGTCTTCACCCGACGCACCCCCGTCGTTGACCTCATCACCACCTTCCACACCACCATCATCGTCTTCGTCCGCTTCCAATAATGCGCCGCTGGGCGGATCATCTACCCCCACTGCCACACCAGCAGCGACCCCTTCAACCCCGTCAGCTGTCGGCTCGCCAAGCAGCAGCATTCCAAAAGTCGCACCACAGTTGCAACACGCTGCTGAAGATTCTGATTTGGTTTTCAATCGCTGCGCGCAGGACATTCGACAAATTTTGACCGAACTATCACTCGCCAGCAAGGAAGTGGTTTCGTCCCCTTCTTCGGCCCCGCAGGCTCCTGCTGACGCACCACAGGCTCCTGCTGACGCACCACAGGCTGCTGCTGCTGCTGCTGCTGCTGCTGCTCAGGCTGACTCTAGCGCCACACCACTGCCATCGTTTGCTATCTTTACATCCGCACCGACGATGACTGATCTGTCACAGCTGCGCTGCACCTTGCAGCACTACGACATGCGTTCACACAACCCGTCCAAAGCTGTTTTCCGCTCACATCGACTTTCTCAGCGATTTCCAGCTGCTCTCGATGTCGAAACGGCGCTCGCTGCTGGCCACAACGTATTCGCCTTGGATTTGACACTCTACCTGCTGCCTCTCATTCGGCGCGAAACGGTTCGAGTCTCCCTCACGACGCTTGCCATTGCGAACTGGCGGCTTGCCCAGTCGCGGGGCTCTGCGCAACAATTGGTGAGTGAGTGAGTGAGTGAGTGAGTGAGTGAGTGAGTGAGTGAGTGAGTGAGTGAGTGAGTGAGTGAGTGAGTGAGTGAGTGAGTGAGTGAGTGAGTGAGTGAGTGAGTGAGTGAGTGAGTGAGTGAGTGAGTGAGTGAGTGAGTGAGTGAGTGAGTGAGTGAGTGAGTGAGTGAGTGAGTGAGTGAGTGAGTGAGTGAGTTGGAGACAAAGAGTGTGTCCCATTCGCAGCTATACCGAAAACCCCTTCCCACTGCCGCGCGAGGTGGTGCCTGATGCATATGCTCTTGATTCCCTTCGTCGTCCCATTCGCAGCTATACCGAAAACCCCTTCCCACTGCCGCGCGAGGTGGTGCCTGATGCATATGCTCTTGCGCATCTCGCTGAAAACGCCGATTTTGCTCACCACATTCGACGACAAATTTCTACCGATGACCGCACTCCGCACACTGCCTACGGTGTTTACCAGGAAGTGGCTTGCTGGATTGCTGTCGAAGAACTGCCCCGCGCGCTGGATGTTGCCACGGCAGCCGCACGGTAAGAAGAACCTACCAGTTTGTCTTTCGTTTTCCCCCCCCCCCGCTCCCTTCTTCCCCCCCCCTTCCCCTTGTGCGCTCATTCTTTTTTCTGACTGAATCTGTGCTTTGCACCAAAGCAGAAATGTGGATCGGCTTGACTTCCGAGCCTTTGCCGCAGTTCTGCTCCAATCACGAGGGCGCAGCACTTGGCGCGACTTGATCCGCGAGGTGACAAGCAACTCCGAAGCCAACCCTCCTCAATTTGTTCGCGACGCACTGTTTGTGTGCGCTGTCGAGCAACCGAATCTCGCGCAAGCTGAAGCGAGCGTCATGCAGCTTGTCGGCTGGATGAATCAGTCAAACCATTCCCTCACGATTGACAACTGGAACAGCGTTCTTGCTCTTGCCGTGCGCCGCGGAAACCCGGCTGTCGTCGCTCGAGTGCTCGAGACCATCTCGAATGCCGGGCTTTCTCGCAACACCGACACACTTCGCTTGCTGCTTGCAGATGCTGTGCTGCAAGGCAACTTGCTGTCGGCCATGTCGTTTGCAATGACCATTCACCAACTGGAGGGCCGAGTGCGCTTTAATGAGATGGATTTGCTCGAGCGAGCCTACGCTGCCACCGCAACAAATCCAGCCTCGTCCCCTGATCGTGAGACGTTTTACAACCAGTTGCAGTCGTTGGCAAAGGCGAGCGGATATCAACTTGCGTCGTCGAGGCAGCCTAGTGCTGTATCCGAGTCATCTGGCAAACCCCGTGACACTGCCTCCCTCAATCGCGATGCCGAGCTCGCACGAGCGGGCTGGTATTCCCTATTCCAAGCGGAGGGCAACGCGCGGAGTCGTGGCGCCACGATCCACGCTCCATCATCCGCCCTCGCGTGATCAAAGCGTCGAGTTCGATCCCCCCCCCCTTTTTCTTCTATGAATTGAACACCAACACCATTTATGTACGACCACTTTCCCATTAAAACGAACAAGCACGATTTGGCAAAACAGCCGATGAGTGGTTGCCATTCTCGATCAATACTCAACATAATACTGAGGAAAGTCGAAGAGCATTTCAAATTCAAAAGTTGAAATCAACAGCAGCAATAACAACAACAGTAATAACACGACGAGGACACACAACAAACAATTTTTCACAGAGACAATCCAACACACCAAAAAAACCGCACCAGAAGTAGTCATTCAGAACAAAAAATCAATAATCTGCACACAAACTTGGCATCAACTGCTAACACACACGCGCACGCAAGAAAAAACAAACAAACCTGGAGTTTTTCACTCCAGCTGAACTAGTCCGAGTCATCAGAGTCGCTGCGCCGCTTGTGAGGCCGTTTGGGCTTGGCATCGCCGGAAGCAGGCTTTCGCTTCTTGGGCGCGTCGCTCTCGTCGCTAGATTTCGAGGCCTTGCCTTTACCCTTGGACTTTGGCGTGTTGCCTTCGTATAGTTCATTGTGAATCATGCTGGTGGTATTTCTCGGCTTGCCCTTGCCAGATTGCATGTCGCTGCGGATTTGGTAGAAGCGCTTCCACTCTTGGTTGGCCTGCTGGTGCACAATGAGCCTGGCCACCAAAAGGACAAACAGCCCCATCAAGATCATGCATCCAGCAGCAAGACCAATGACTGGGCCGGGATCCGTGTCAGCCGTTTGAGTGAACGCGTAGGACTGCGTGTTGTCGCTCGTGTAGCGCACAAACACGTCGTTCTCGCAATCGGACAAGCAGCGACAGTCGCCAACAAGCGCGGCCGTGACAATCTGCTGGCACGTCTGCTCGTTGCCGCTTGGGAGGCAGGCCATAATATCGTTGCACCAGAAACAGGTCGTGTTATAGTCATCCGAGTAGGTAGCACACGCAGCACAATCGTTCGAGAAGGTCTGGCAGATGCTTGTCGTTGTGAGGGGACAGCCCGACTCGCCAGGAGTGCAGAGCGAGCAGTCCTCGCCGTACCACGGAGCAATACAGCGACACGCGCCACACTCGCACGCACCACGCGCGGGGCCGCCGCAGTTCTTGGCGGACGCAGGGCAGCTGAGCGAAGAGTCGCAGGTGCAGTCGATACCAGACCACGCGCCTTCGCACACGCAGCGCCCGCAGCTGCAGCTGCCATGGTTGCCGCACAAGAGGCCGTTCGCGTCCACTGGGCAGGATGCGGTGCTGCACGAGCAGGTCGCTTCCAAGATGGCACCGCCCGTCACGCCGTGTTGCCAGCCGTCGTCGCACTTGCAACGCCCAAAGCCCTGGCACGTACCGTGACCGCTGCACGCCAGGCCGTTAATGAGTGGGCAGGCGTCTTCCACACGAGTCTGACACTGCGAGCCGCTGTACCCGCCAGTGCAGTTTGCGCATCGACCACAGTCGCAAGCACCACGATTGAAGCAGTTGTTGGCGCACGTCGCGCCCACGCAGCCCGAGGTGCACGCCACCAGCGCACCATCCGACACAATAATCGGGAAGGATGCGGGCTGGCCAGAGGCACGCAGCCCCAGTGTCACCGGCGCAGTGAGGCGCGTCGGGGTGAAGAGGGTGACCGAGACAGTCACAGACGTGGCCACCTGCGCGCCGGTAACGTCCAGAACAGACGCAGACGACGGCTGGACGCGGCGTACGATGGCGTTTCCGGAAGGATCGTAGATGTGCACGCTGTTGGCCACTGCACGGTAGCCCTGCTGCAATCGCAGCATCAGGTTGGTCGCGCGCTCGTCCAGCTGCACAACTGCGCCATGCCCAAGCTGCTCAACAAGGCCATTCGGGCGGCCGTATGCCCAGCTCAGGTGAGGGCGGCTGGCCGGGACGCCAAAGATGGGCACAACGCCCGACGGCGAGAAAGCGCGAACAAACTCGGCGACGCTCGGGTAGTCGTGCGTGGTCATTGGGGCAACGAATGCGCCCGACGGCTGCTGGACGAGCTGGCATGTTGGGACGAATGGGGTCTCAATTCGTGCACGCAGGCCGTCCATGGCGAGATGGTAGCCGTCGTTTGTGAGAACAAAGACCTGAAAATGAAAAACAAACACACACACACACACACACACACACACACACAAAAAAAAAAAACAGCAAATAAGCAACAAAAAAGCACAAGAATCAAGACATGGAGCTCAGAACGCAATATTACAATCTGCCGAGCATCCGACCGCCAGTTGATGATGCTTGGGCACAGGGCGATTTGCGAAAGGGCATCGAGAACGGACTGTTTCACGCCAAAAGAAAAAACGAACATGTCAGGTTTAAATTGTCGCTGGAAATGACCAGTCAGCCCCCGCCTTATTCAACAATACTCACGTTGGGTGCATCGAGATCGCTCGACACTTGGACTGCTTGCAGCGCAGCGTGGAACTCGAGGGGGTCGGACGTAAAGTTCAAAAGATGCTGGACGTTTTGGGTGGGCAGGTTGGCTGGCGGCCAAGCGACGTCCGGGTCGGTGAAGGGTTGCACTGGCTTTTCAACAAACACACCCAGGCCAAAACGGACACTGGGGCTCTGTGACGCGAGCCATTCGGTAATGTTGGTGCGGAGCTGCTGGAGCGTGTGAATGTCGCTAAACATGCCACTGCTCGCGTCCAGCAACAGGTAAAAGTCCACCGGCGGATACTGCACCGGTGTTACTGTGATATCAAAGGTGAACTCGCGTCCTGTGTCCCAAGCAAAATCGAGCATCAATGCAGGAGAATCGGTGAGACTATGAGGCAGCAAGGCAGATTCACTTTCCAGCCCTCTCCACCATCCCCCCCCTCCAGCTCTGCAGCCCTTGCACTGCCAACAAAATGGAGTGCATGGAGGGGGGGTGTTTGCATGAATGACAAGGAGCAAGGAGACCAAGCTTGCAAATATAAACTCACCCATCCGTAGCTGGGCAGTACCGTTCGCTGGCGAAAACACGCTTGCGCTCGGGCTCGGCTGGAAGGCGCCTGCGGATGCGCCTGGGACGTTGTTTGGGAGCAGCTGGCCTGTCGGGTTGATCCACGACGCCTGCGGGCATTGCGCGGTGCCGTCCGTGTTGAGCATGCACGCGCCCGTGGACTTGCACCAGCCGCACGACGAGGTCTTTGACAGGCACGCATTGCACGACTGCAGCTCGAGCGCGGTGCAGTCCTCCACTGCGGGGGGGGGGTGCAGAAGCAAGGTCAAGCGGTGGTGTGAGTTGGAGTTGGAGTGAGGATGGAAGCGAGAGATGGAGAGCTGGTCGAACGAGGGCCCAACTCCTCACAATTGCGAATTCGAGGTTTGAGAGTGACCCAATGTGGCGCTTGGGAGTGAGTGAGAGTGAGAGAGAGTGAGCGACGTCAGAGTGAGGATGGGACGAAAGGGAGGGCTTGTTGTTAAATTGCTGAAAGAGCACAAACCTGTCAATGCGCTCACTTCGACGCTGCTGATGCAACTGACGAGCAGCAGCATTAGTAGCAGCAATGCAAGCAGAGGCAGCAGCAGCAGCAGTAATGGCCGCCGCTGTGAGCGAGACAACGAAGAAGAAGAAGAAAAAGAAGAAAAAGACATTGTCGAACAAAAAAAAAAAAAAAAAAAAAAAAAAAAAAAAAAGGATTGAGTTTTTTTTTTTTTTTGTATTGAATTTGCATTGAATAATGTTGGATTTTTTTTTTTGAGGATTTTTTTTGATTAATGATTTATTGTGGATTTTTTTTTATTTTGTTCGCATTCTTTTTTTTTTTCTTTTTTTTTTTTGTTTCTAGTTTTCAATTCCAAGCTGTGCAACATTTTTGAAGAGCTGACATTCAACAAAACAAAAGGAAGAGAAAAAAAGACAAATAGTTGAAAAAAGAAGCCGCAGCGAAAAAGACGAAAAGCCAGAAGAGAAGAGAGAAGAAGTGAAGAGACGAGAGCAGGACGAAACGATGAGCGCGCTTCCTGCCACCCGCTCCTTCACTAGCACTGCGACTACTACTGCTGCTACTACTAGCAAGCGCACGAGCAGCAGCATCGCCCGTCGTGGTGGTGGTTGTGGTGGTTGTGGTGCCCGCTCGTCCCACCACCGCTCCACTCTCCTTGTTCTGCTCGCTATTGCTGCTGCCGCTGCCCTGCCCGCTGCCCACGCCGCCAACAACATCAACGTCGCCGCTGCGTGGACCAAGCTCACTTCATCCGCACCTGGCTTTGCAAAGAGCGTCGCCATCACTGAACGGTAAAACCACTATTTGGCTCTGTGATTGAAGGAACGAGAAAAAGGGATTTTTTTTTTTTTTTTTTTTGCTTTGTTCTCCTTCTTTGGTCCACCGCCGCTCAATCCTGCCGCTGTCTGAAAAGTGGCAAAAAGCCACACAGCGTCGATTCCTACCGCTTGAAGTGGATGGATTGGGGGGGGGGAGGCGGGGAGCAACAGCCAGTTTGCCGGTCCCATTCTGGCATTTTCAAAGCAATCAACAAAGGAAACTCGCTCTCTGGATGATCATTCATTCATCAAGCATGCATGCATGGCTGCGCACCTCAGGCACAAGAAGCAAAATGTATTGCAAGCAGCTTGCATTGAAAGATTTTTTTTTTTTTTTTAAAAAAAAAACCGGAGGGAACGTCGTGTAATGGAAAAAGCAAACGCAGGAAGTCACTCCTTCCGCCGCGCCGTTTGGCTTTGGCAGTCCTTCGCGTCAACATACACGAAATCCAAGACCAAATGGTGCCTTTTGTGGGGGAGATGAGCAAATCCTGACCTAAAAATCTTGTCCCTTTTGTGTTTTGCACCAATTTTTTGTGCTCATGAATCAACAACTCACACCTGCTTTCCTTCCACTTCCTCTTCCTCAAAACAGACCCAACGAGGACTTGGACATTGGCATCGAACCGCTCGTCATTGCGGGCGCGCCGGACGCCAACTCATTCGCCGGACAGGCCTACTTGTTCCAAATCCACCGCGATGTGATTGGGTTTGCCCCAAAGTTCACCAGCCTGGGCAGTTATGCCGGCACGACGGACGATCCCGTCAGCCTGTCATACAATGGAAACGCCACTGGCGGCCTGGCCTCGGGCACGCCGATGGGCGCTGGCATGGGCTTTTACATTGGCACTGGCAACATCACTTCGGGCGCGGACAATCTGAACGTGCTGCTTGGCGCCCAAGCGGCCGAAGAGGAAGTTGTCTCTGACATTTCGATTGTGGAAGGGTTTGAAGCGTGCAGCAGTCCTCCGTGCGGCTCTGTCGTCCAGCTCCCGATCAAGTACCGCGCTGGCCAGCTGCTGGCAACCACCGTCCAGCAGCAAACCGGCTGGCGCGCCGCTGGTGCGTTTTTCAGCACCTTGCCGCCGGATGCAGAGTTTTGCCACGAGCCCTTCCCTGGCCTCATGTCTGAGCCGTCGCTCTTGCGCACCTATGGCGCGCGTCCGCGCTCGTCCTGTGTCTCCCAGCTCGGCTCCTCGCTTGCGCTGGGCCGTGTCTGGAATCCTAGCCATTCGGCCGACTTTGCCTCCGACAATTCGGAAATCATTGCCGGTGCGCCCATGTCCAACCGCGTCATTGTCTTTTCGCTGCCGCCTGGCAACACACCAGGACCCGTGACCTCGACCGTCATTTCTCCCGTGGCAGCAGTCGCCCTTGCATCCTTCTCCACGTCGTCCTCCATCTCGAACGTTGCACGCGCTGCCCTCGAGTGGGGATCGCTGTTTGGAAACAGCGTGGCGTCTGGCGGCTCGCTCAACGGCGATCAGTGGGACGATGTGGCGATCGGCAGCGTGCGCCGCTCCGATACCTACCGGCAGCGCGCCTTTGTCGGGTCCGTGTCCGTGTACGCGGCCGTGCGTGACGGTCAATCCCCTCAGCGGCTCGCCTTCTCGCCGCAGCCCTTCTTTGAGGTGTTTGGCAGCCACACTGGCTCGTACTTTGGCTGGCAAGTGCTGATTGCGAACGTCATCACCACGCGCTTCACCCCGACCCAGGGCCTGCCAGACTTGCTCGTCAGCGCCCCGATGGAAAGCATCACCCTGCCCGATGGGACTCTCCTGCCCGACGTCGGCTGTGTGTACATTTTCGTTGGCTCTGGCCAACCCACGGGCCCGTTCCAGCCTTACTCGCAGCGCATCTGCGGTCGGCAAACGGGCGAGCGCTTTGGCTACACGATTGCGACCATTGGCGACATTAACGCTGACGGCGTCACCGACTTTGCCGTCGGCGCGCCGCGGTACGATGCAAACGCTACGCTCTTGGACGTGGGCTGCCTCCACGTCTTCCTTGGCGGCGTCATTCGGGTGAGCTCGGTCGCTGATCAAATCATTTGCGGTTACGCTGCAGGCGCCACGCTCGGCACCGCGTTTGCGGGCGGTATCGACTTGACCAAGGACTTTATCTCCCCTCCCTATCCAGACTTGCTGGTGGGCAGCCCTGGTCAGCAGGAGGTCCTTGTGCTCCAGTCGCGCGCTGTTTCCAGGCTGACCATCTCTGGCTCTGCCAATCGCCTGTCTGTCATTCCTGGGCAAACCGCCACCTTCACGTTTTGCGTGGCCAACCAAGGGCCCTCCGACGCGATTGGTGTGCTCGTGGCGCCGCGGTACAACTACACTTGTGGCGCTTGCAGCGTTCCCTCCACGCCGCTCGTCACGATGCCAACCATCGCTGCCGGCACCATGGCTTGCTCGAGTGTGACGACGCTTGCTGCCGTGACTGGCTGCTGCAACTTGGAGGCTTCCAGCGAAATTGTCCAAATCTCTCAGGGTCCCTTCGACACGCCGCAAACGCTCGCCGCCGATTCCGTCGTCGCCTTGGCTCGCCCGTTGACTGTCTACGTGTGCCCGACTGCCACACCAGCTTGCGGCTACAACATTGCCATTGCCAACCCCACCGTGTCGCCCGCAGCTGGGCTCAAGCTGGGCAGCCCTTTCACCGTGTCGGTTTCTGCTCAGCTGGTCGATACCAGCGCCACCACCAATGGCGTCAAGCTGACTTTCAATGTCCTTGAAGGCATGCGACTCGATTTGCAGTCGAGCCTGCTGCAAGGCATTCCCTGCGTCGCGCAGCCCGCCAACATGCTCGCCCAAACTGCTTTGCGCTCGATTCGCTCTGGCAGCACAGTCTCCTATCCGTCCTACACTTCAGACCCGACGTACAGCCGCTTTGCTTCGGCCTGGACGGAAGTGACATGCTACCTGGATTCCGTCCTGGCCTCGACGCGCACGGTGGTTCCCCTGTTGTTGGTGTTTGATACAAGGCTGGTCGCGCCATTTGCCAGTTCGTTTGATATGCGGATGGTCCTGTCCGCTAGCACGCCCGACACTGTGCCCGCCAACAACAACGTGACTGTGCCTGTGACTGTCCTTGGGCCCAAGGTCCAGGTCACTGCCCACTCGGACCAGGGCCAAGTGGTTGAAAACTACCCCTTCACCATCACAACGCGTCTGTACAATGCTGGTGGACAGGAAGCGCGCAACCTTGTGCTGTCGGTCGTCTTCCCGTTCTACGCCGCTCGATTGATTGCCATTCCCTCGACGCACGGCAGTTGCGAGGTCGACGCCTTCCAGCGCAGCGCTCCGCTTTCCGGTGTGCAGCCGGCTGGTGGCGATGTGCCGTTTATTTGCACGCTTCGCCGGCTCGCGCCAGGTGAAACGGTTTTGCTGCCGATCGTTGGTGCCTACAATCTCACCGCCACCACCGACACCACTCTGCCGTTTTCAGTGTCCCTCGTGTACGGCGGCCAGACCGCCCCGCTCCACTCGTCCACCACCATCCGAGCAACCTTCAACAAGCAGTATGCGTCTGCTGCGCGCCAGCGCAACACGGATGCTGTCGCATGGGGCACCTTTGTTGGCTTGCTGATTGGCTTGGTGGTCCTGCTCGTCATCTTTGCCATCGTCATCTACTTTGAGCTGTTGCGGTCCACCAGAGCGCCTCCGCCGTGGGACCAGCTCCGCGACGCCTACGAAAAGAGCGGCGCTCTCAAGAGCATGCCTTCCTTCCTGCGCAAGACGACCCCCAAGACCCAGGAGGAGGTGCTCGAAGAAGAGCGCGCCAAGTGGGAAGCGCGCGAGGCCCGCCGCAAGAACGATGCCGAGCGCGCCGAGATGGAAAAGACCGAGAAGGCGCGTATCAAGGAGGCCGAGCGCAAAGTCCGCGAGGCCGAGCGAAAGCTGCAAGGCACCGCCAAACGAAACAAGCCCAGCGCCTTCTTTGAACGCCTCCGCAGCGCTGCGCAAGCTGCTCCCACAGCCCCTCCTGCTACTACTCGAGCGCCCGCTCGCCGCCGTGCTTCTTGGGGCGGCCCTGCACCCTGGCCGCAGCCTCCAGTCAAGGAGCACCCTTCTGGAGCCCAAACTCTCAGCTGTCTGCCAAACTTGGGCAAGGGCAGCAAGGCGGAGCTGAAGAAGGCGAAGGCCTTGTGGGCGGACGATGTCGCGCGTGTTCGTGCCGAGCGTGCCGCGGGTCCAGCTGCCTCCTCATCGAGTCTGGCTGTACCCATGTCCCGGGAAGAGGCAAAGAAGGTGTACGAAGGGTCAGTGTCGCGAAACCAGCTTGGTATGCTGTCGCCCGACGAGATTGCTGCTCTTGCAGCCTATGGTTTCCTTGACGCCGCGATGGCGGCCCAGCTCACGCAACGAGCCCGGCCTCAAGCCGCGCGCCACACGAGTCTGGCTGAGATCAAGCTGGTCAAGCAGGCGGCTCCTGCCGCACCCCCGCTTGCTCCCGCAATCTCCGGCTCGGTTCCCTCCATTTCTGTGGACAGCGACGAGCTGCCACTGATGGCCTCGGCGACCGCTTTTACTCCAGAGGAAATTGATTCGCTTCCAAAGCCACCCCCGCAACACGAGTTGTATGCTGAGGAGGCGTCGTCTGCAGCTTCTTTGGCCGAGGCCGCTTCCGCTGCTGAACAGGAGGCTGCGGCAGTGTCTGCTGACGAGGCCAGTACACCTGTGAGTGTTCCGAGCAACGATTCCGTGCTAGTCCCGATCGATGGCGAGGAGTCCAACGGCGCTGGCGGCGAGACTCTCGCAACAGACCCGCCAGCTGATGCTCCCCCGCCGCCACCCCCGCTGCCGTTGCCGCCCACGACCGACCTTCCGGCTCCGATCCAGGCGCCTGACGAGGAGCCTCCGCCACCACCTGCCCCAACTGCTCCTCCAGCGCCCGTCGCACGACCTCCGCATCCCGTCCTAGTGGCGCAGGTCAGCGCGCGTCAACTCACGCCCGCACCACTGTCGCCGCCAGGCGATGCTCGGAACTACGACAGTGACGATGATGGCACTTTTATCTAAAGAGAGAGGAGCCGAGTGTTAATGTTACGATACATGCTGTTGTTTTATTGCGTTTGTTATTCCTGTTGATGATGATGATGCTTCCATGATTTTGTTTTCTTGTTCTTTTGCTCTTTCTGTCAGTTTTTTTTTGGCCTTTGTTACTGAGCGATTGTTCTTTTGCTGTCTTGTTATGATGCTGTGTATGATGTCCTGCTTTTGCTAGTGTTGAAATCGACAATTCTAGTGATCCTCTCACGACTTCAATCAACAACACCAAGTTCCATGGCTGCAACCAATAAGTAGCCACTTCATGGTTCCTATTGAGCATGTAAATTCATGGGCTCACTGGAGCGAGGGGAAGAGAGGAGGAGGAGGAGGAGGAGGAGGTCGGGAAGGGAGAAGCCTTTTTCGTAGTTGTTTCTGCTGGCGAACTAGTGATGCTCAAACTCTGCTCTACTTAGACGCATACTAAGGCATGTCCAAGTAACTCCACAATGCGGAATGAAAGCATTGTAGCGTGCTTGAAGAGGGCGGCGGACGGGGACAATGAATCCAAAGCTGGTTTCTGAATCTTGACCACAAAGTCGACAAGATGTCTGAAGCACCTGGTTGCACCTGACTGTGATTTAGCTGCTTGCGTCAAAACGAAGTAATCGACATTTAGAAAGTTAGAATTACTCTTTTTGTTTTTTCTTGTTTGATCATCTTTGGTTTCTCCGCTGGTCGGCGCCAGAAAAGCTGCTTTTTCACCATTTTCCATCCATTGCCCGTCGACAGCTCGAATGACCACCATCCTATCGCCTCTCCCTGCTTCTGGGCAGATGACACACCATCCGGACACACGGTTCCATCATCTGGCTGAGGATGCAGTGAAGCCTCTGCCTCTCAACATGCCCTGGATGGCCCAGTCGGTAAAGCAAAACTTGAACCCATCGCTGTCATCATGTTATCTTGCAGAGAACCGTTCTACAATGAAAATCTTACATGCACTTGACACAGTTGGATGACACATTCTCCAGCTCTTCGTCAGAGCCGACGACGAATGACGACTCGAAGGACAGCAGCAGCAGTCTCGATTCGTCGTTCGAGCGTTACGAACAAGACGCCAAGCTTGCCAGTCACAACAACGCTGCTACTGTTGATGATAGCGAGGCGCAATACACTGAAGATGACGACGAGGACCAGTGGACTGACTGCGACGACGAACTCGAGTCGTTCACACAACTGCAAGTTCCTCGCATTATTTGGCCACCCCATCGCGCACCTCAACTCGAATTGAAAACGCTTTCATCGATTCTTGTCAATCCCTATCTCGCCGTTTTGGGTGTTGAGTTAGAGAACAGTCGCTTTTTGTTACAATTACCTTTTCACGTTTTTGTCTGTCATTCTCTGGTGTTTTTGGCGATCATGAGCACTACTTCGAGACGTGGTGGAGGCGGCGCTCGTGGCGGCGGTCGTGGCGGCGCTCGTGGCGGCACTCGTGGCGGCACTCGTGGCGGCACTCGTGGCGGCGGTCGTGGCGGCGCTCGCCCGACTGCTGCAAGCACGACCGCTGCGAGCACAACGGCTGAAAGCACGACCGCTGCGAGCACAACGGCTGAAAGCACGACCGCTGCAAGCACGACCGCTGCAAGCACGACCGCTGCGAGCACGCCTGAGGAGCTTGCTGCCCTTCCACTCCCGTGAGTTCGTTGGCGGCTTTGGTTGAAGGCGCGAAAAAAAAAAAAAAAGAAAAAAGAAGCGCGGTGTCCCTCTCCGTCCCTCGGGAGCAGTCCACCGCTTCCCCTCCCCCCATCGCCCAAACCGACAAACGCTGCTGACTAAATGCACTATGCTCTATCCAGGAGGGATGTCCGCAGTGCGGTGCGGGCAGTGTGATGCTGGCAGTGAATCTGTCCTTTGTTTCAAAACGCTTGTTTCAAAAACGCGCGTTCATCTGCAACTGATTTCCCGCCATATTTTTTTCGCGGTTTTTTTTTTCTCAACCCACTCCTCCTTGGAGACGTCGAGACGAGACTCCAATGCGTTGATGAAGTGTCATTGGCATTGCGTTGCGATTGTTAATGGTTCTTGCTCGCCGTTGGAATCGACGGTCGGCAGGAGGGGATGGCGAAAAGAGATGCTGGAAATGGGATGAAACCCCATGATGCAGTGATGAGATGCGTGGATGAATGGCCTTCTCTGTCTGTCCATGACAGAATGGCGTGTTGCTGATTGATGTTGTTGGGTGTCACTATGGCGCAAGGGCTGCGCGATGCGCTCTTGGGCTTCGCCTTTGTTTTCTTGATTGTGTTTTTTGGTTTTTTTTTTGTTCTTTGCTTGTGTTTTTCTGCTTTCCTTTCTCTTTCCTTCCAGTAATCCCGTTGCTCTGTTGACCATTTTGATTTTGATTTTGTTTTTCGTTCGTTTTTCTTCTTCTTTTTTGCTTTGGGGGGGGGGTGGGAAGGAGGGGCAGAGGGAGGGAGGTTGGAAGTTGTTGTTTGTCCCTCGTTTCTTTGGCAAGCCAGCAGCAGTTGGTTAGTGTTTCGTATTCGAGAACAAGCGACTAATCACACAAAATGCTTTGAATGTGTCGCAAACTCTGCTCTGGCTACGCATTGTACAGGATTATAGACGCGATTGGCTCGTTGCAGAAAGAAGTGAGAGGCATGGAGGATCGCCTTACAGCGCAAATCACAGGCGTGCAGAAAGACGTAAAAGATGTGCAGATACAGCAGGGTGCGATGACCGAAGCCCTCTTTGAGGTGCTGACGAAGGACTCGTCGCTTGTGCCCAACGTGAAGTTAGCTTCACTCAAGGAGGCGCTCAAAGTCGTTGTCGCGCTTCTGCAGGCGGTAAGACTACCACTAATAGCATGTTGCAGTTGGTGTTCGTGCGTTCTTGGCAACTCATCGTCATTCCTTCGTCTTTTGATCGCGAATTTCACCAGAATCCCCAGAGCGCACGCCTGTTTGAGCTCATGGACGTCCAGAGCCACACTCGCGAGATTGCTGATCGGCTCTGGGTAAGTCAACACAACGTTGAAAGTTGTGATCTGTTCAAGGATGCCGAGGTGGCCGCGAATGCCTTGTTCGGCGAGATGGCGATGCCCGGCTCTGCTCCTACGCTCGACTGGATGAAAATCAAGCCAAGTCTCGCAGGCGCTGGCGGGCTGCTCTCGCACCTCGTGGATCAACCTGCCCTCGAGGCAAAGTTGCGCATCCTTTGGCCTGACTTTGACAATCGCGCCCGCCAGGCTGAAGTCTTTGGGGGGCTGCTTCACGATGCTGCAACGGAGTTCCAGGGCATGTGCAACAAGGCAACCGACCATTCTTCCCTGCCAGAGTTGTCTCCCAGCCTTCACGAAATGCTCTGCGGCAAGCTCGGACTCTTGGTTGCCGTCAGCATCCACACTCGCTTGAAGCCGACGCTCAATCTGCATTTGGGCGAAGTGGAGTGCGATGCCATGGCACCACTTGATGACCCTGTGCAGCCTCATGTTGGGGTGCAACTGGTGGAGATCAAGCGCACTCCAAAGCCTGTCAAGGCTGCTCAGAGACAGCTGCTGATTCGCTCGGCACTGTTCGTTGCGCTCTTCCAGCTGATGCCGCGGCAGAAGAAGGAGACACAGATCCCAATTCACATTCAGGGGTTCTTCTACACGTCTGGACCCCACGGGCTACGTGAGCTTTACGGTGAAAAGGCCAAGAAAGTGCTCCGTGACGAGTTCAAGAACAAGGTGTTTGGGGACGCGAGGACGGAGACTGACCCAGAGCTGTCGTTCGCCATCTTCCCTCTGATTAAGTTCAAGCCAGCGATACCCTCTTGGGCCACTTTGGTATTTGTTGCTTCCTCGACCTCCGCTGGGTCTGCTCCTGTCAAGGCTCCTGTCGAGGCTGCTGCCGCTACTCCTGTCGAAGATGCTGACCCTGGTCCTGCCAAGACTGCTGTCGATGCTGTTGTCGATGCTGTTGTCGATGCTGTTGTCGATGCTGTCGATGCGCAAGATCAGGCGCTTGTCGCTCCGCCTGACGTGGCGCCTGCCGAGGATGCCGCCGAGGATGCTGTCAAACTCCTCGCGAAGCGTTGGAAGAAGCCGTCACTCCTGCTGGCGTGCACCCTGCTTCTGATGATGCTGCTGCTGGTCCTGCGGACCAAGACCGCTCTTCCACTGAGTAGTTGAGACCACCAAAGAGCTAGTACTTTGTGTTTCCTGTTGCCTGTCCTGGGACACGTTGCTCGTTCTCTGTACCGCTCTCTGCTTTCGTGCTCCACCTTCTGAATTGTTCCCCGTGCCGAAGCGTGAACCTGTCTTTTGCCCGCGGCTAATCGTTGCCTGTGTTTTGCATGGACGGCGATTCAGTTGTTGTTGTTGTTGTTGTTGTTGTTGTTGTTGTTGTTGTTGTTATTGTTCTTCCTCCCTGCTGTAGCCCTATCGCATTGCTTGTGCCTCGCTTTTTGTTGTTTGCCAAGCCCTACCACTCAAAAACAAAAAAAAATAAACTCGTGTCGTGTCTTAGTGACTCCGAAAGTGAAGTCGGGACTTGTGGTAAACGACAGCGTGAATTACGGCGGACCGAACGCTGAGGCATTGCTCACCTGTGTACCACAAAAGACATGCTGCTTGTGACTGCGGTTGATAAACATGCTGTCATGACAGGGAGTGGGACAGACACTGTCGGAAGGAGCGACAACGCGCAACCGCGTTCTCCCAAGATGCAAGATGCGCGATCAGCTTTCATCAAAGACGTTGCCAATCTTTCGTGCAAGTTGTTTGCACGATGTCTCAGCTGGTTTTAAAAAAAGCAAGCTCGATCAGTTCAACTGGACGTCTACAGGAAGATCTATTGTTCTTCCATCAGCTCGACCTTCCAAATGGCTTTTTGCCTTGTCGAATTTTTGAGTGCTACTTTTCACCCCAAATCCAAAGTGAAATTGCCACAGACAAGCATTCGTGATCACTTCCCCTTTTAGCTCTTCCCGTCTTGGTGTTTGAAGAAATGGCTGCTTGCGAGAATATACCTATGCGTCCTGGCGAGCCCACGCCAACGACCGTCTTCCTCACCAAAGGTCACCCTTCTGCGTCTGCACGCTCAGCAGCAGCTCGGCACCAGCGACAGCCCTGGACAATGAGCCTGGTGGTGCTGCTGATCGCCGCCGCCGCTGCTTCTGCTGCTTCTGCTGCTTCTGCTGCTGCTGGGGTTGCGTGTGCCAGCCCAGTGGGACCGTGCCAGGCACCCACCACGATCGTCGGACACGGCCGCCGAGCTGCAGCGGCGACTGAGCCGTCGATCGATGGGCTTGTGCCGTGGGCGCGCAGCCCCGCGCTGTGGACTGGCGGCGCCGTGCTCGAGGTCGAGAGAAGCAAGCAGACGCTCGCGGTGGTGCTGCCCAGCGACGCCACCCTCGGCAAGGGCGACTTTGACCAGCCGCCGCCAGACCCGCTCAAGCAGACGCCATTCACGGTCACGCTGGTCGTCTATGGCGCGGGCCTCGCCGACGGGACGCTCATGTGGCTGTCGGACAACGGCTTCAGCTGCCTGGATCGCCTCAATGTACGCGCAGTGTACAATGCGACCGGATCCGGATTGTCGTCGTCGTCCGCCATGTTTGACATCAACCCGGCAAATATCGTTATGGGCAGGCAGTACTATCCGTGTGTCAACGAAAGCACCTCGGAGGCGCAGGGGCGTCCCTGGATTTCGATTGTGATTGACAAGGCGGCTGTGCCAGAGTCGGACGATGTGGGCATCCCGATGCCGCTGCGCATCATTATTCTCATCGTCTTGCTGCTCCTGTCTGGCCTGTTCAGCGGCCTCAACTTGGGCGTCATGGCGCTCGACACGAACGCGCTTCAGATTGTCATGGAGAGTGGCACGCCAGACGAGCGCAGAGACGCACGCGTCATTTACCCCGTCCGCAAGCGCGGTAACTTTTTGCTGTGCACCCTGCTGCTCGGCAATGTGCTGGTGAACAACACGATCGCCATTCTGCTCGGCGACTTGACGACCGGCCTTGCGGCTGTTCTCGGTTCCACCGCGGCCATTGTCGTTTTTGGCGAGATTGTCCCGCAGTCTGCCTGCTCCCGCCACGGCCTCAAAGTCGGCGCCAAGACCATCTGGATTACCAGGCTGTTCATGCTGCTCACCTTCCCAGCATCCTACCCAATCAGCAAAGCGCTCGATTACTTCCTTGGCGAGGAAGTCGGCACCGTCTTCAAGCGCGAGGCGCTCAAGTCTCTGCTCCGTGTGACTGCCAAGGACACGGACTTGCACGCCAACGAAGTCGTCATTCTGTCTGGCGCCCTCGAGTTTGGCTCCAAGACCGTTGCCCAGGTCATGACGTCGCTCCAAGACGTCTTTATGGTCAGCGTCGACAGCATCCTCGACTACAAGACCATGTCTGCCATTGTCGACAACGGACATTCACGCATTCCCGTGTTCCAGGGCAAGCGGACCAACATTGTGGGTCTGCTTTACTTTAAGGATCTCGCTTTTGTTGATCCTGACGATAACATTCCCCTCAAGACTGTGCTCGACTTTCATGATCACGAGGTAGAAAAACGGGCTTGTTTCATGGATTGAACCTTGGATTTTGGTGTGTTGGGGTTGAGAAGGAACGAGCTCATCAGTTTTTTTTTTTGTTGTTGTTGTTTGCTTTTTTTTTTTGAAACTCCCAGCTTCACATGGTCATGGACGATCATCGTCTTGACCGCATGCTTGAAGAATTCAAGCGTGGGAAGAGTCATATCTGCATTGTGAAAACGGTTCGCAACGATGGTATGTCGCCGCAATTCAAGCATATGGTGCTGTATCCGTTCGCAACGCAAACCAGTCTAACTAACTGCGATTCCGTTGAAACAGGCCCCGGTGACCCGTACTATGAAATTGTCGGCATTGTCACCCTCGAAGATGTCATCGAAGAGCTCATCCAGTCTGAGATTAACGACGAATACGACCAAATCTGTACGGTTTTCCTGCAATCTCCACCCTCCTCAGGTTTCGCTTGCTGCGGCGTCTCTTTTCACTAACTCTCCCGATATTTCTGTCGCTTCTTGCAGCTGACAATCGCACGCGTCAACGGTTGCCGCGCAAGAAACTCGATTACTCGCAGTTTGTTCGTTCAGGCGAAATCAAAACCAAGCTCGCGCCTCAGATGGTCCTCGCTGCTTATTCGTACTTGTCTTCAGGTACTTTTGTTTGTTCTGGTTCTCGTTTCATCTGTGTTTGACTGAATGGAGGGCGGCCGTTGCTGACTCGTTGTTGACTCCCAATTCTGCCCCCCCGGCCCCTTTTTGCAGCCATGCCGTGCTTTAGCATGGATGTGTTAACCGAGTCCGTGCTAAAACGCTTGATTGAAGCTGGCACTGTTCGCGATGTATCGGTTGCGAACGACGCGCCAGACAGCCTGGTTTTGTACTCGCGCGGGAAGGCCACCGACAACTTTTGCCTCATTCTCCAAGGCCGCGTCGGACTCACAGTGGGCTCTGAGAACTTTACGTTCACGAATGGCCCGTTCACCACGCTTGCTGTGAACGCCATCCTCCCGTCCACCACCCAGTACATTCCCGACTTTAGCGCGACGGTCGAAATCGACTCGCAGCTGCTGTTCATCTCGCGCGCCGAGTACGTGGCTGCAATCAAGGCCGCCGAAATTGAAAAGGCGGCAATGCGCATGCCTCGCCTCAACCCTCCACTGGAGCTGACGAACAGTAGCAACGAAGACTACACTCCAGCGTCAAAGCCCTTCCCCACCTTCACTGAAGCGGCGCACCAACTCGCCACCGAGCGTCCTGCCGCCGCGTTCTCGAGCACTGGTGGCCACAATTCCAGTGCATCAACCTCGCGCCCCTTCTGGAAATCCAACAAGCAGCAAACTGCTGACGGTTTCCAGTTGCTCGAAGATGCAGACCTCGACGATTCCGAGGAAGATAACGCTCTCTCTTCCGAGCACAGCGCCATCAAGCTCGAGCTTTTGAACGTCCATGAAGACGTGTAAAACCGGCCAAACGGCTATCTTATGCTGGATCAATGTTTCTGTTTTGTTTGTAGTTTTCTGTTTTTTTTGTTTTGTTTTTTTTTTGTCGCTGTCGTGTTTTGTCCAACAGTTTCGTTGAATTGCCATATTATCATTGGTGTCCCAATACAATACTCGCTAAAGCACGTTTCCCACATAGTGAACAGACAAAATATCGTCAATCAAATCCTCGGGCGTGTTTCGGCGCTGGCGAGCCAATTCGCGTTGTTCAGCCAAGCCGAGGTACAGGAAGCGGCTGAGCAACTCGCCATCAATCACATTGCCGGCTCGAGTTGTGGTCATTTTGCGAGGAAAGCGATATGCTCTGTCGTGACAAACAAGCAACAAAACAGAAAACAGAAAAAAACAACAACAACAACAAAAAAAAAAAAAAAACCGATGTCGGCGCATAATTCGCATCAATCATGAAACCTCCACGACCAAACATCCGTTCTGTTACCGATAGCCAATCGGGTTGAGACCCGCCCGCTGCTGCAGGCCGACAAGTTGGCGCTGGAGCCACTCGAGCCGTCGGAACGTTGTCTCGCCAATGGGTGCGAGAGCATTGAGAGATCCCTCAAGCGTGGCCAGCAGATCAATGTGCCGCTTCACGCTTGCACCGCGGTCTACCGACACTGGAAGAGAGCGGGGTACCATTCGCAAGACTTGCTGCACATGGCTGCCGACGTGAAAGTCGAGCTGGCGAAGCAACCGCTGTCCGTTGTTACTCTCACGATCTGCAATTGGGAATGCCAAACACAAGTCAACGGGTGGGCCGTCCCCAGTAGTATCAAAACATAAACCCAGAAACAGCGGAAAAAAAACCTTACTGAGCGGGTTGTACGCAAAAACGACAAGATTCTGGTGCGAATCCGTTGCCAAGAAACCGAGCGACGAGCCATCCACTAAAAACTGAGTGGAAGCAACACTCATGTGGTCAAAGTCTCGCGCGATAAAACCGAGGTGTTTGGTCGTTTCCTTTGTTGAGAGAATTGTTCGAGAGAATTGTTCGAGAGTGAGCGACGCCCGCTCACCCAGCACGCATCACAACGATTTGCTTTCGATCGACCGATCGATCGAGCGATCTGGCACTTACATTGAATCGCAACAGAAAAACGCTGTTGTTCAAATCTCCCACAAGAATGAAATTCTTGATGGCCGAAACAGATACAACGAACGTTTGCGTATCAATGAAGGCCACGCCGTCCATTGTATCATCGCTAGCAAATTGCCAAATTATAATCTGTTGCGAGGGCCGTGAGTTGGTTGGAAGGAAATTCAAAAAAATGGTGCGAACGACGAGCAGAAAGTTCTGCACCAACAGGACGCGTACCTTTTGACCAATGCAGGACACCAAGTGACCGCAGACATGACTCAAGGCAGTGATGGCTCCCTTCTGTTCTCGCTCCATCAGATACTTGAGTTTGCGATTTGTTTGAGGGCGATTGACCTCGGGAACAACGTCAATGATTTCAAACACGATAATCTGGTCGAACGGAGCGCGTCAGTGCCACAAGCAAGCGTTCAGCAGCCCCACCCGCCTCGGCGCAACCGTGTCTCTGAATACTTACGCGGCCATGACACGTCACATCCTCGCCTTCAATGACGGTGGTGCCAATCACAACATAATCCTTGAGACCCGTCACTGTCTCTTGACTGGTGATGGCAGCGATATCCACGCTGGTGACGCGCTCGAACGCTGGTAGATCAAAAGAGTGGATGGATTCCCATGTGACTGGCGAAATTAGTTGCAACGAGAACGTGTCGAACGTTGCTGGGATGGCCCGAGGCTTGGGCGTGTACGGGACTGGCGTGTATGTTTCGTCATTTGTCAATCGCGGCAAATTGAAATACGGCTTGGGGTGGGATGTCACAAGAACGTACGTGCTGGTATGCGTGTGATGCAAGTGAGCAGTTTAGAACGAGAACCAACTGAAACTGCGCCAATTCCCCCCCCCCCAAAAAAAAAAACAAAAAATCTGACCGGAAGACCTCATGGTAGCCAATATAATGAGCAGTGGCGCGCAATGGCACGCGTCGAACAGGCCACGGATTGTCGTGGTTTGTCGTCGGCGCCAGTTGGCAGAATCGCAGAGTGCCCTGTCACAGAAACATGACAAAACAGGATGAGCTTCGAAGCCTTTTCCGTCCAAGAGGAGTGAATAATCGCAACGAAAAGTACCTGCGTCGTAAAATACACAAATCCACCAGGGCAGGCGTTGTTATTGAATGCAGAAAACGCACTAACACTGCCATCCGTCAGCATGAGATGCGCTCGGAGGGCTTTTCTGGTTGGCGACATGAGCAGCCACAGTGGGCGTCGACCGCACACGAAAACTCCGCTGCACAGCTGATGCCCGCCAAGAACTCCTGTGTAGGGAACTAGACGACCCAGTCCAAAGGCCTGTCGCGGCGGCATTCCCGCCGACTGTTGCTGTTGTTGCGCTTCTTGTGGCTGTTGCTGTGGTTGCTGGGCAGCAGGATCCATCGACGCATCGGCACCAAGCCCATCAATCATCATGGATGCGACGTCCCCGCTGGGCTTGGGATTTAATTGCTCGGCGGCACGTTGCTGTTGTTGCAACTGCTGCTGCCGCTGCAGGGCCTTTCTTTGTTGGCCAACAGGTTCGCGGATTTCGACTGGCAGCGCAACTCGCTTAAACCGCACAGCAAGCGGGGAGATGACGGCGAGCATTTGTTCTTCAGCCCGTTCCACTTCTGGAGGCATTTCTGATGCCGACCGCACATAGTGGAAGGCCTGGTAGACGAGAATATCGTCTGTGGATAGTGTCGCCTGAAAAACAGCAACCAAAGGCAGAGCGACAAGAGCGGCGATCAGCATGCGCACGATCAACAAAACCACCCGCAAAAAAAAAAGCGACTTACAATCAGGTGGGGACGCTGGCCAGAGGGTCCGTCAAGGGTGAGCAAAAGCAAATCGGTGATTTTGGGATCGTCAGGGCTGCATTCGGCGTTGACTGGAACGGAATGTTCAGAAGAGAGAATGGGCGGATAAAAGTTGAAAGCGCCGTGCACAAACACGAGAGAAAAGTCGGGTAGGCTGTAAATCTAGTTGTTTGAGTTCCGAGATTCCCAATGCAAGTCGTAGAGTGAGCAACAAAAGACAAAAGGTGCAACAACATACGAATTCCCCGACGACGTCGACGATGACGACGACTGAAAATGCCACAATCAACAGACCTCGAGAGCGCCGTTGCTACGCGCGATGGCACACCACATAGTCGCTGCAGCTGGTCCATGAGGTAAACTAGGCAAAGTCGACGGGCTGGGCGGGTTGGGAACCGAGGATGTTTGGTTGGATGAGCCGCGTGAGGCTGCTTGTTGGGTGGTGGATGTCGGTGCGGATGGAACCGAGGAGCCATACAATGCCGCAAGCTCGGCGTCGTCATCTTGATCAGCCACGGTTGATCGCTTGTTCTTCTGGGCGACAGCGACCGTCCTGTTGGCGTTCTTTGGTCCGGGTTGCTGTTGCTGTCGTTGCAGCACGGCCTCCGGAACAAACAAGCCCGATCGATCGGCGTAGAGGGAGACTGCGACCACTGGCTGACCCTGTGTTTGGAAAATAAAATGTGTATATGTGAGGGAAGGAGGGAGGGAGAGAAAAAATAGAGCGAGCGATCCAAATTGCGCTTGCCGCTGGGATAACATCTCTTGTTCACGCAGCTCAGTGGTCATCAACTTGCCCCCCCCCCGCGCCCTAAAACACCAAAAAACCCTACCGCAGCCACAGTCGCAGTCGACGCAACAAGCTCTTGAGTATCGCCTGTAAATTGAACAAAGGAAACGGCTCCATCCGCATGCAACGCCAGGACGCTCGATTCTGCAATGCTTGCGTGAATAATTTCAGACACGGACGACAACTGGGCGAGCAAAAGCTCCTGGCGGAGGTTGACACCGTCAACAAGACGAATGCCATGTGCGAACACGTCAACAATGAGAATTTTGCCGTTCGCCGCAAAGACATTGCCAATGGCAATGGTGGCACCTGCTGTGAAAAACCCACTTTCGGCGATTTGTTCAAGCTCTTCGCCAGTGGTGGTGAACACCAGCGTCGAGTCGTCGCGAGAAGCGACCAACAGCGAGTGGGATGCACCGTCGAGCGATGAAAGGGCGGCGAGAGACGGGTCCAAGGCGGTGCTGAACACGCTCCACAAGCCGCGACCTCCTGTGAGCTCTTCGAACGAAGAGATAATGTCGGGACGGATGCCACGATGGGTCACCACAATGTTGCCAAAGTTGCCGTGACCGGCGCAAAACACAAGATCGAGCGGGTTTTGCGGATCAAACTGCTTTTGCTTGCCACCCGCGGCTGTTGATTGTTTGGGCAGCGGGTATTCCTCGGCGTCCTCCCGCTGACGTTGGCGCGAGGCGTCCGAAACGGACTCGTACAATTCGGCAGAGACATCTTCTGGCAGCCCTGCAGTCATGCTGACCACCGGGCCCATGTTGAGCAGAGTGTCGCAAGCCTGCAGCATGTACCGCGCAAGGAAGGTTGTTCGATCGCGAGCCAGCTCGGCCTGAGTGGGTCGCACAAGCATGCGGTCGAGCTCGTCGAGTGCCGTGTCTCGAGAGACAATTTGCACAACTGGGCGAGGCGCGACTGCGTCTTTGGCGGCGGAAGCAGTGTTTCCGTTTTCGTGGGCTTTGGTTTTCGCCGCGTTTGCTGCACCCGAAGCAGAACCGTACAAGTTTTCGAGTTCGCTGTCATCCTCGTCATCGTCGGCGGCTCCAGCGGCAGTGTGGTGGCCGTTGGTGTCGGACGAGCGACTGCGTTTGTTTGCGGAAAAGTCATCCAGAGCTGCGCTGGCCAGGCGGCGCTTGTCGGCGGCCGCTGTGGCATTGTTCATCACACGGAGCAAGACTGAATCGCTAGCACGCGACCCAATGAAGCAGTATTGGCCATTGTAAAGCGAAGTCATGCAGCAAGGCAAGACACTCGCACCGGCGGGTTCGATGCGAATGCGCACAACCGTGCGGCCCTCTGTGAGCAGGGTGGCCACAAACATTTCTCCACCCTCCGTCACGGCAAGAAGGGTTTCCGGTGTCAAAAAGCAACACCGTCCTTCCTGCATGTTGTAAACCACGCTGCTGCCGTCGGGGTGCTTGTTTTCTGGTATCCCCAGGCGCAGCTCTGTCGACATGGATGAGAGTTCGTTCAAGGAGACTCCGACTGTTGGAGAGGACTGGCTCAAGTGCAAGATTGCATCTGGCGTGACAATCACTGTGCCGCAGACGGGGCGGGGCACAGCCATAACGCGCATCGAGTTGAATGGTAGTTTGTCCACCGACCAGACAACTGGATGTGAATGGGACGACGTGTTGATGGAGAGAGCCACCATCGAGCATGTATCCTTGCGCTGGACAGTGCGCCCAGTCCAGGAGGGCGCGTTGGGTTCAAACAGAAGGGCCAGCGTCGGCTCAAAGTATCCCGTCAGAAACTCAATGTCAATGACGTGATGGATGTGGCGTTGCAGCTCTGTCAGCTTGATCTCGTACGAGGGACGCAGGCGTTGTCGCTTGCGAATGCTCGCCGCTGGAGCGGACGTTGTAGTAGCAGCAGCAGCAGCAGCAGCAGCAGCAGCAGCAGCAGCAGCAGCAGCAGCAGAAGAAGAAGAAGCAGAAGAAGCAGTTGTCAGGTTTGCTCCAATTTGTGCGCTGGGCGGCACTGAGGCGGCGGGCGCCTGGGCGCTCTGATAATCGTCGTCTTCATCGTCGTCTTCATCGAGGTGCGACTCTTGACGGAATGGCAGAATGATGAGCTTTGTGCCATAGACCAAGAAGGCTGCGCACTGGCGCATTGGATCGACGCGGATGACGGGTGGCCAGACGGCCTGAAGCGCGGTGGCATCGCGGCCGCCCCGCATCTCAATGTCTTCATACATGTGCAGCGAGATGGTCTTGAGATCGAGGGTGGCCGGGTCGTAGTCGACGACGGCGACCTTGGCCTCCTTGAAGGCCAGCAGCAACGAGTCGCGCTTGCAGTGTGCCAGCCGAGCCACGCCAATGCTCTCGACGTTCCCAGACAAGTTGAAGCTGGCAACCAGCTCGAGCTTGTGCTGCAGTGCTGGCGGCGTCGCGGGGGCGGAATGGAGAGATCTCGTGTTGATCTCAGTCGCGGCGTCGTCGGAGCGACCACCATCATTGCCACCGTAGCCAGCGGCGCGTCCAAGGTGCATGGCGCCCGCGGTCTGTGCAGTGAGTGCAGATCCGCTCGACAGCTCCGATCTCCATCCGGATCCCGAGGCGGTGGCGGCGTCGATGCGGTAGACTTCGAGCAGATTGGCGCGCGCAACGACCAGCTGGCGTTCCGCTGCATTGGTGAAGCTCGCCTCGACGCAGTGCTCGACCGCGGTCGGCGGATGCTGCTGCCGAAAGTACGCAAACATGCAAAAAAGCGACACACAAAAGCAAGAAAAAAAAAAAAAAAAAAAAAAAAAAGTAAGACCAAAAGAAAGCACGACTGAATGGAAGACTTCACTTGGCTTGCAGATCGTTGAGCTCAAGTCTCAAGCTGAACGACCAGCTGACAATAACGCCAATGTCCAGTAGTGCAGCAGAATTGTTACAGTAGATCGAGCTCACATAAATCTCAACGTCTTAGAAACCCCCTCCCCCTTTTTCCTTTTCCCCTTTCCCGTAGCGCTTTTGCAGACCCATTTTTGACCTTGCAACCAAACACCGCCTCCTCATCCTCATTCTCATCCTTCTCTTACGTTCACCATCCACCATTTCCCCGCCTTCCTCCCTCTTTGATCAAAGCGAGTGAGATTCAAAACAAAAGCAAATGTTTTTTTTTTTTTTCTTCAATTTCCCACTCTTTTTTTTTTTTTTTTTTTTTCTTTTCAACTCTTTCTCTCACTCTCTCTTTCACTCTGTCTCTTTCACTCTCTCTCTAAACAAGAGCATGGACGACGGCGACGACGTCATCTTTGAGCTCGTGCAGCTGGAGGTCACGCACTCGTGGCTGTCTGCACTGACGCGCGAGACGTTCATTCTGGCCAGCAACCTGAGCGTCCGCGAAGTCAAGCTCGAGGTCATTGCCCAGTCCGCCATCATCGCCACCCACTTCCGCAAGCTCGAGTTTGACATTTCTACAGCGGCAGCAGCAGCCTCCAACAATAGCAGCAGCAGCAGCAGCAGCAGCAGCGGCTTCAATCCTGCTGCTGCGAACGCATCTTCAGCCGCCGGTTCATCCGTCGCAGCGGGGGGATCAGCCGCACACACGACCTCCTCGCCTGCAGACACTGGCAGCAGCAGCACCGCCTCAACCACCACTACCACCACCATGCCGGGCGCCGCGTCCGATGCGCTCTGCAATGCTTTGGTCTTTGCGTTTGCTGGCCGTGAGCTGCCAATCGCGCAGGAAGCCAGCCTCCGCTTTGTCGCCATCGACCCGAGCATCCCCGACGCCGTCTCCAACTGCGCGACCATTTACATTTCGCTGCGGCGGCGGACTGACCCGGCGGTGGTCGCGGCCGCGGTTTCTGCTGGCCCAACTCGCAGTGCTCTTCTCCTTCAACCGCTGAAGGACCAGCAGCAGCAGCAGATGCAGACACCGACGCTCCGGCCGTCCACAACGTCCACAGCGACGTCTTCCGGTACTGCTGCGAATGCTGGGGCGTCCTCACCGCAGATGAACCGCGCTCGCACGACTCATCAGGGCTCGGCAGCAGCAACAGCAGCAGGACAACAACAACAACAACCCGACGCGGACCAGGCCGGACCCTTGCCCATGATTCTGTTGCGACAGAGCCCAGCCGAGCCGGCGACGGGCGACACGATCGCAGAAACACGTCGCCGATTGTGCAGCGCGCCGGCACCGTCGTCCTTTGGCGCGGGAGCTGGCATTGAGCGACTTCCCGTGCGCATCTGCTTCTCGACCGATTGCGAGCTTCTCATCCCGTGCGGCGACGGCGCTGTCTTGCTGGGCGACTTTGTTCTCTCGGCTGTCGGTGGTCTTGTCGCAACAGGCTTGCTCCAGCTGGCTCCGGCTGCTGCAGAAGCGCTGGCAAAGGCCGCGCCAGCCTCGACCACCACAACGACCACCACAACGGGCGCAAAGACCAGCACCTCGTATGCCTCGGGCCTCTACTCGTCCATTCTCAAGCAATTGGCAGTAACAGCGGACGACGGCACAACTCTGGCGGTGGACGAGCCGCTGGGGATGCTGCCCTACCTGCAACACTGCCTCAAGTCCAAAGAGCTCGCCCATCTCGCCGTCACTTTCGAATCCCTAGTGTCGCGCGACGACGAGGATTTCGAGTCCGAAGGCGAAGAAGAGGAGGAGCCCGCCAACAACAACGACGACGCAGCAAGCTATTACGACGACGTCGAGCCCATCTTGGGCGACGCTTCGCCCTTGATAGAAGAGGAGAATGCGTATGCGGTCATGCCACTGAAGCGAGGTGCTGCCGCTGCTGCGTCGAACGGCGCCGCAGCCCCTGCAGCCGCCGCTACGACATCGTCGGCACCCCCGCCTATTCCCACGGCGCCAAAGCCCGTTTCCTCGACTGGACCTGCAAGCCCCGCGCCTGGTCCGCAGGAATCCTTGTATGCCGCCCTGCGCCCCGGTGCCCGTGACTTGTCTGGCATGTCGAATGATTTGTACAGCGCCCTCTCGCCTCCTGTGCCTGCCCTGCCGCCCCGGCGCAACACAATGACTGCCAACACAACGGCGCACGCCGGCAACCACCCGTCGCATCAGGGCGTTGTGCAAGCACCCGGCGCGCCTCCACTTCCATCGCGTGACAAGCACATGTCGGACAGTCAGAGTCTCATTAAGAGTCTCCAAGCCGACCGTCGTTCGATGGCCGTCCATGTCTCCTCCTCCTCCTCCACCTCCTCCTCCCACGACCAGCGGGCTTCGCTCCATTCCGGCAACCGGACGAACGGGTCGGCCGTCACCGAGCCCATGATGCGATCGCAATCCGTGTCCTCCACGGGCAAAGCTCGCGGCCGCTCTGGACGAAACCGCCGCCCAATGTCGCGGGCCAACACCATCCGAAGCAAGCAAATCTTCCCGATCGAGTTTGTCTTCCCGTCAGGCCAATCGCTCCTTGTGCCGTGCCCAGGCTCTTACAACATTGAGCGGGTCAAGTCTCTTGTCTGGACGCGCGTGTTTGAGTACAACGCCACCGTGCAGCACTCGCAGCCCATCGATGTCGGCATTCTCGACAATTGCGCTCTCAAGTACGTGATGCAGAACCAGCTGTACGAGCTGTTCGACGAGCAGCAGCTGCTCCAGACTCTGCAAATCATCAAGCACTGGCTCAGCTCTGGGGAGAAGCAACAACTGTTTGTCGCCTCTCGCACCGTCGAGCTTGGCAAGAGGGTGAGCATTTCTTGTGCTTTGTTTGCTGTCGAATTCTCTGGAACGCGCGCGCGCTGAACTTTGATGATTGTTTTTGACTTGTAGGAAAAGCGTTTGAACATGAAAATTGGCGAGCTGATCGGCTACGGTCTCCACCAGTTCACTCAACAGCACAACCCCGAGCTCGATCTTATTCGTCGGCGCTTTGTCTGGTAAAAAAATTGTGGATTGCATGGGTGCTTTGCGTTGTTTGAAATCTGACCTTTTTTCTTTTTGTTTGTTTATTGTTTTTTCTGGTTTTTGGTTTTTGGCTTTTGGTCCCACTCGGAACTCCTTTAGTGTCCGACGTGCCGCCGTGGATCAGCGTGACTTTTACGCCTACATGCTCGACTGCAACACGACTTCGGCCAAAGTGCCCCAGAACTTGGTGACCAAAATGATTGACAACAAGCTCAAGATCAAAGTCTTCTTCAGCCAAGGCACCTCCAAGACGCTGATTTTCGATGCCTACTCGAGGCCGACGGACTTGCTCGAAAGTCTTGTGACTGAAAAGTCCATCAAGGTGTTAAACCTGCCCTCGGATAGGTAAAACGAAAATGGTTTGGTTGCTGCCTTTTTGCAAGACATACGTAAAGCCCCCCCCCTCCCCGTTTTCTGACTCTGGACATTGTCATTCTCGTGTAGCAAACCCGGACACTACATTCTCAAAATGCGTGGAATGGAGGACTACTTGGACGGCGACAACTCGTTGATTAGTTTCAAGCAAATCCGCCGCTGCGTTCTGAAAGGCGAACCCATCGAGCTGACTGTGATTGAGCGCGTCAAGTTAAACTTTGAGGACGAGGCCAATTTAATGGAAGAGGTGAGCAGGAACTGGTGCTGCTCTGTCTCAGAGGTGTGCTGAGAACTTGGGCAGAACGGTGTTGTTTCTCACTGAACTCGAACTCGCGTGCCCTCCAGTTTGATTTGATTGACGACTCTATTGGCGTCACTGGAACCCACGAGCAACTGTCGGCCAAGATCCGCGATCATACTCAAATTACAACCCAGTCGCTTTGGGATATTTCGCGCCGCTTCCGCATTCGCATTACCGGAGCAGATCGTCTGGTTCACGGCAACGTCCGCTCGCTTTACGTCGAGGCAGCAATCTATCACGGTGGCCAGCTTTGCGCAAGCCCACTCAAGACCGATCAAGTCCCAATCACCGCAGCCCCGCGCTGGCGCGAGTGGCTCACGTTCGACATTGAGACATCGAATTTACCCCGAGTATGATGCTTTTTGTTTTGTTGCTTTTTTCGTTGGTGACTGGTTGCTCAGCTCTTGCTGGCTGGTTGCTCATTCATCCCTTTCCTCCGCCTTTTTGTTTCTCTTTTTTTTTTTCAACCCAATCCAGGCGGCTCGCATTTGCTTTACCGTTTACGGGCGTTGGAACGCCAAGAAGAACATGAGCGACGACAAGGAGCACGACATCCATCCGCTGGGCTGGGTCAACTTTTTGCTCATGGATTACAAGGGCTACCTGCGATCTGGCCACTTTACCCTGGCCCTATGGCCCGAGGACAAGGCCAACCCGATTGGTGAGTTCGTTTTTTTTTTTTAACAATCAAGTTTTTGTTTCTTTTTTTTCCTCTTTTGCTCTGTTTCTCTTGGCTCTTGAATCTTTTGCACATTCATGCTGACCTTTGCTTGATTTGATCGTGTTTACAGGCACCACCATGCCCAACCCTGCTGGGAACGAGTCCGGAACGCTGTCGATCGAATTGGACACCTTCCAGCATGCCATTGCCTTCCCGCATGATCTCTACATGAACGAGTACAAAAACCTGAATATGCCGATGCCGACCGACGAGCACGATCATCAGCGGCTCGAGGTAGGTCGAGCTTTTTTTTTTTTTTTTTTTTTTTTTTTTACGATTGCTTGGGAAGAAACGCACACTCACCCTTTTCGTCAATTGCTCTCCTACTCCACCGGCAGCAAATCATCAACTCGGATCCCCTGTTCCGCCTGGACTCGCGCGACGAAAAACTCGTGTGGATGTACCGCCACTATTGCATGCGACGCCCGGAGGCGCTGCCAAAGTTCTTGCTGGCAGTGAAATGGAATCGACGCGAGCACGTCCAAGAAGCTCACAAGTGTCTGCTGGCGTGGGCCGCGCTCAGTCCGGAGGCGGCTCTAGAGCTGCTGGATGCCAACTTTGCAGACGAACGCGTTCGTGCCTACGCAGTCTCTCGGCTCGAACTGCTGCCGAACGACGAGCTGGGCGACTACTTGCTGCAGCTGGTCCAGGTGCTCAAGTACGAGCCGTATCACGACAGCGCCCTCGCACGCTTCCTGCTGCGTCGCGCTCTGCTGAACCGTCGCATCGGTCACAGCTTTTTCTGGTATCTTCGCGCCGAAGTGCGAACTCCAGACATTGCCCAGCGCTTTGGACTCTTGCTCGAGGCCTTCACGCGAGGCTGTGGGACCCCGATGATGAACGAGCTCGTGCACGAGCACCAAGCCTTGGACACGTTTGTCAAGGTGGCCAACTTTATCAAGGGCGCCAAGTCGTCCGTCGAGCGGAAGGAAATGCTGCGGCAGCAGCTCGAAAAGGTTCAGCTCCCTGAGCAATTTTCCTTGGCGTACGACCCGAACATTCACGTGGGCAGTTTGCGACTCGAGTCGTGCAAGTACTTTGACTCCAAGAAGGTGCGTGCGTTTGGTGTTGTGTTGGATGGATTTTTTTTTGTTTCATCAGGCCTTGTTTACTTGTTTGGTTCATTGCTCACCCAACTTCCACACTGCCGTTCACCCAACAACACCACCACCACCAACAACAACAGCTGCCATTGCGTCTTGTGCTGGACAACTCAGACCCTGCTTCTCCGCCAGTCTATGTCATTTTCAAATCCGGCGACGATCTTCGCCAGGACATGTTGACATTGCAAATGTTGCGAATCATGGACAACCTCTGGCAGCAAAACAGCCTGGACTTGCGAATGAACCCGTACGGGTGCATTTCCACGGGCCACGAAGTCGGCATGATCGAGGTCGTCCTGAATGCTGAGACGGTCGCCAAAATCCAGCAGCAGTACGGCGGTTCGATGGCCGCATTCAAAGACGAGACGCTGCACAACTGGCTCCGCCAGCAAAACCCCACCGATGCAGATTTTAACCGTGCGGTCGAGACCTTTACGCTGTCGTGTGCAGGATACTGCGTCGCGACCTATGTGCTGGGCATTGGCGATCGCCACAACGATAACATCATGGTCACAAAGTCGGGCCACCTCTTCCACATTGACTTTGGTCACTTCCTCGGCAACATAAAGCGCAAGTTTGGCATCAAGCGCGAGCGCGCTCCATTTGTGCTGACGCCCGACTTTGTCTACGTCATGGGCAAGCGCGAGGGTTTCCAGTTCCAAAAGTTCCAAGAGTACTGTTGCCAAGCCTTCCTTGCGCTTCGCCGCAAGGCGAACATGTTTATTAATCTGTTTGCAATGGTGAGGCAGAAAGAGGCAGAGTTTGGGGTTTTTATTTGTTGCATGGCGACACTTTCTGGTGGTCCAGGTTGATGGAAACTGACTTGTTGTGATTTTTTTCTGTGTTTTGTGTGGTTTGTTGTATCTTGGGACGCTGCAGATGCTCTCGACTGGTATTCCTGAACTCAAGAGCGCCGACGATATCAACTATCTCCGCGATGCGCTCTGCCTCGGCAAGACTGAGGAGGAGGCCGCCAAGGAGTTTAAAAACCTCATCTTTGAGTGTCTGCGCTTGAGTTGGAGCACACAGCTCAACTGGTGGATTCACAACATTGCGCATTCTTGAGTTTCTTGAGCTTTTTGTGTGTGTGTGTGTGTGTGTGTGTGTGTGTGTGTGTGTGTGTGTCTGTCTTTTGTTTGTTTGTTTGTTGTCCGTTTGTTTGATTTCCGAATATACAAGATACTGAGTTCGCTTATTGTGCAATTCCATACAGCTAGATTCAGACTTGTTTTGCTTTTTTAAGCTGTTTGCTCAGTTCTGTTTTTTCTGTTTTTTTTTTTTTTTTCTTGTTTCACCCTTTTTCTCTTGTCCGTCCTCGCCGGCAAGCCCCACTCAAAACACAAACACACACAACAATCACAAACACACACCCCCTCTGCTTCCATCCATGGCGACCGGTACCAGTGCCGTGATGGCTGCGATTGCTGACTCGGAGCGCCAGACAGTCAATCTGCCCTTGCTCGGTGAGAATTGTCATCCAGTGCTGCGTTCCTTCATCCAAGCGCCACCAACTCTCTCTCTCACACACACACGCACTTTGACTCTCACTTTGCCCAATTTGAACCCCCATCTCAATTGACATCTGCTGCTGCTGGACGATTTGCCTGTTTGTTTGTAAAGATACGTTGGCGCTCGAATTTCTCTTTCAAGAGGGCATCCTGCTCCAGCGACCCGAGACGCTCCTCGGCTCTTCATCAACTTCATCTTCATCATCATCATCGAATCAAGCTGCTCGCTCGCGGACTGAGGTGACGCCGCAGCTGCTCCGCGTCCCAACTCGCGCGGCTGCGTCGGACATCAGTCTCGCAACTGGAGCCGCGTCCGACGCGCAGCAGCCAAGCCAGCAGCAGCAACCGTCTGCGCAACAGCAGACCCAGCCGGAAGCCAGGTCGCCGCCAAGCCCCAGTCTGCGGTCGTCTGCACGGTCGTCTGTCGCCGGGTCGTCGTCGTCAGGCGAGGATTCTCGCAGCGCTTCCCCTTCGCCGAGCGCCGAGGCACTGGCGGCCCTCGCGCAGCGGCAGTCCCCGTCGGCCCAGTCCATGCTCATTCGGTGGGCTTCAAGCCAGGCCCAAGCGCAGGCGCGGTCGCTGTCCGACGAGGAAAAGCTCGATGCCATCCAGCGCATCCAACGCGACATTTTGCAGGGCTGCATTGATGACGCGCTCGCGAGCATTGAGACGTGGCTGCCATTGCTCCTCCAGGACTCCAGGCTGCACTTTGACTTGCTGCACCAACAATTCCTGGAGATGGTTCGACGCGGCGACACCCAGCAAGCGCTCGAGTTTGCGCGATCTACTTTTGCTGTGGCTGCCCAACGCGCGCACGCCGATGCCTACTCCCAATTCAAGCGCGCGTTTTGCTTGCTGACCTTTACGGGGCCTTCGTCCTTGTCGCGTGGCACCTCAGGATCTGGGTCTGGGTCTGGGTCTGGATGTGCAACAGCAACTGCAGACGATGCCGCGTCCGACGCGTCTCGAGCAGGGACAGCATCCCTGAGTCGCTCAGACTCGCTCGTGTCGCTGGAAACCCAGTCGCTCAACGAGTTTTTGGCTCGGATTCCACCTGCACTGCACGACTTGTACGACAAGGAGCGTCGCGAAAAACTTGCGGCTGCCGTACACACTGCGCTACTTCATGGCTTGGGCTTCCCCTTTGCACGCTTTTCCATTGCCATTCGTCACCTGGCGCTTGTGCACAACATGTACCACGTTCTCAACGGCGGCCAGAGCCCCCATGCGGACATTGAGCGCTTTCTGATTCCCGACCCCTCTGGCGTCTCAACGGCCTACACGGTCCCTTCTGCGCCCCACCCAGTGAGCCACCCAATCTCAGAGCACAACATTCAAACCCTCGTCCAGTCACTTTGCATTCCGCGACACACAGCGCTGGCCTCGCTGCGAGCTGCGCGCGGCAATCTGGAAGAGGCAATGCGCACCTCCCTCATGGCCATGCCAGTCAACCGGGATCTCTTGGTTCAGCTCATTCTTGACTACTGCCAGTATCGCGGGCTGGTGAATGCGGCGAATGCAGACGAGCTGCTGTGCAGTCGCAACATGCTCAAGCAATTCCGCGAGGAGGAGCGCCAGCGCCTTCAAGCGCGGCCCGTGCTTGCTGCGACCCAGACTGCCACTTCGAGCCTGTCCCAGGACGACTTGATGGCCAAGCTGCAGCTCGTCCGTGAGCATGCCCGCGACGGCGATGCCCCGGCAGTTGTCGCACTCGTCAACGAACTCGATCCCAAATTCCTCACGCACAACCCAACGCTGAACTTTCAAATGTACAATGCGCTCTTCATCCATTATGTCGAGCTGAAGCAGTCGGACAAGGCTCTCGAGATTGCGAAAACCCACCTCGCGCCGGCCACGATGACATCCACTGATTTGATGGCCCGCTTCAAGCGCATTTTGATTTGGGCGACGCTTTATCGCAGACAGGGCCAACTTCCGTCACCCGCCTTCTCCTTTGCAGTCATTAAGGAGCAGCAGATTTCCGCCATCGCGCGGCCCATTTTCACTGCGCTGTGCGATGCCGTGGGGATTGTCGAGCCCCGTCTTGTGAAAATCATGCGCTACATGCTGCATGTCCACACTGCCTCCTTCCGCCAGCAGCAAGTTGGAGATCCGTTCGAACGTCCGTTCGCGATTGTTGATCTCAAGCGCTCAACATGGTGGCCGTCTGTCGCGCCGGGATTCTCGGTGTCTTCTTCTTCTCATGGTGGCAGCGGTGGCAGCGGCGGTGGCAGCGGCAATGTCGGAGGCAATAACAGTGGCAGTGGCAGTGGCAGTGGCAGCACCAGCAGCGGGCTTGCGTGGAGCGGCACTGGCAGGACTGGCTTTGCGACGACAACAACAGAGAGTGCCAGCGGCAGTGGCAGTGGTAGCGGTGGTGGTGGTGGTGGCCTCAGTCGCACGGCTCTGGGCTCCGGTAGTACGACCACGCGCAGCCTTGGCTCTAGCAATACCAATGACGCTGCTGGCTCTGGCCCGAGCGCGCTGCCTTCCATGACCGACTCCATCCGATCGACAATCACCCGTTCTCGAGACATGACGAGTCTGATGGAGCGCATGTACAATGACGCTACTTCTGCGGCTGCGTCAATCGTTGCCCGTGGACCGGCACCCGGCACTCCGACGCGCGCCTCCTCGATGATGCGCGCAGCGGCTGCAGTCGATCGCAGCCGTCGGGAAGAGGCCAACTTACTCTCCCAGCAACAGCAACCGCAGCAGCAGCAACAACAGCAACGCGCGGGACTATCGCAACGACCGCACCGTACGCTGCCAAGTGAGGATCCGGCAAGAATTTTAGCAAGACTGGACTTTGTGGAGCGCATGACTGAATTGGCCAGATCCGAGTCGCCTTTTCAGCACGACGATGACTTTATGGCAGAGCTCCTTGCTAGTGCGCGCCAGCTAGACGAACGGAGAGCTACCGACCCGTCCCGCCAGCAGCAGCAGCAGCAACGACAGCGGTCGAATCGCTCCTTCTTTAGTGCGTCCAATGAGCCCGAGGAAGGCGTGTCGCGAAGTGCACCAAGGCGGACGGAAGCCAGTCAGACCGAAGCGATTCAGACGTTGATGCAAATCCTTGCCATTCCACAAAACGACGCTGAAAGTCTGCTCGAGCAGCACGACGGTGATATTCAAGCTGCCGTTGCTGCTCGGTTGTCGTAGAGCCCTGTCCAGCTGTTTGGATGTTTTGCTGGTTTTGGCGTGTTTGTGCTTTTCAGGTCGCGTTTGCAACACAAACGACGAAATTGGGCACCTTTGTGGTTGTTTGATGCTCTGCACGATTTCGAACAGTTGCTTTTTGAACACAACAATAAAACCAATCTCCACTACGCACACAACCAACCAAATGCAAATTGGAATTGCAGTTCCAACCAAAGCACTCGAGCGTCACATCAATGAATAAACCCATATGGATTTGAGGACAAAGGTTTGCGTACACACACAGATACACAAATACACGCATACACAGCCACACCACCATCCCTCAAGAAGGGAGATGTCATCGAGCACGTTTTTACTTGAGCTCAGCCATGCGGTTGAGGGCAGAGCCGGCACGGAACCAGGTGATCTGGCCCTCGTTGAAGGTGTGGTTGAGGGTAATGTTGTATGAGCTGCCATCGGCGCGGGTGAGGACGGCGGTGACGGGCTTGCCGGGGGCGAGTTGGTCGCCAGAAATCTTGAGGGTGACACGGTCGGAGGGGGCGATCTTGTCGTAGTCAGCAGGGTTGGCGAAGGTCAATGGGAGCATGCCCTGCTTCTTCAAGTTGGTCTCTGTGATGTGTGGAAAAGGGAGAGCGGTTTACAAATAGAGTGAGTGAAACGATCAAAAGGACATAAACTCATAAACTCCAACACAAGCTCGAAAAACAAAACAACTCACCGTGAATACGAGCAAAGCTCTTGACAATAATGGCAACACCGCCGAGGTGACGCGGCTCGAGAGCAGCGTGCTCGCGAGACGAGCCCTCGCCGTAGTTTTCATCGCCAAAGACAACCCACTTGACACCCTTCGCCTTGTAGGCGCGGGCAACGTCGGGGACGCCGCCAAACTCGGAGGTGAGCTGGTTCTTGACAGAGTTGGGCTTGTCGTTCTCGGCGTTGATGGCGCCGATCAGCATGTTGTTGGAAATGTTGTCGAGGTGGCCACGGTACTTGAGCCATGGGCCAGCCATCGAGATGTGATCGGTGGTGCACTTGCCCTTGGCCTTGATGAGGATGGGCATGTTGGCAAAGTCCTTGCCGTCCCACTTGTTGAAGGGCGAGAGCAGCTGGAGGCGGGCGCTCTTGGGGTCAACATCAACCTTGACGTTCGAGCCGTCGGCAGGGGGTCCCTGGTAGGTGTCCTCGCCGGCGTCAAAGCCACGGGCGGGGAGCTCGTCGCCGGTCGGGGGCTGGAGCTTGAAGGGCTTGCCGTTCTTGTCGGTGAGCGTGTCGGTCTCGGGGTTGAACGCGAGGCTGCCAGCGATGGCCATGGCAGTCACAATCTCGGGCGAGGCAACAAAGGCGTGGGTGGCCGGGTTGGCGTCGTTGCGGGCAGTGAAGTTGCGGTTGAACGAGGTGATGATCGAGTTCTTCTCGCCGTGCTTAATGTCGCGGCGGTCCCACTGGCCAATGCATGGGCCGCAAGCGTTGGCGAGGACAACACCGCCAATGTCGCTGAGGGTCTTGGCCTGGCCGTCGCGGGTGATGGTGGCGCGGATTTGCTCAGAGCCGGGGGTGATGGTGAAGAGCGACTTGGCCTTGATCCCGTGGTCGAGGGCCTGCTTGGCGACGGAGGCGGCGCGCTCCATGTCCTCGTACGACGAGTTGGTGCACGAGCCAATGAGGCCGAACTTGAGCTCTGCGGGCCAGTTGTTGGCCTTGACGGCATCGGCGAACTTGGACAGGGGGTGGGCAAGATCGGGGGTGAACGGGCCGTTAATGTGGGGCTCGAGCTCGGAGAGGTTGATCTCGATGACCTGGTCGTACTTGGAGCCGGCGTCGGGGACGAGGTTGTGCTTCATCTGCTCGGCGAGAGAGGCAATCTCGGAGCGGCCGGTGGCCTTGAGGTAGTCGGCCATGCGGTGGTTGAAGGGGAAGACGGAGGTGGTCGCGCCAATCTCAGCACCCATGTTGCAGATCGTGCCCATGCCGGTGGCCGAGATCGAGTCGACGCCGGGGCCAAAGTACTCGACAATGGCGCCAGTGCCACCCTTGACGGTGAGGATGCCAGCCACCTTCAGGATGACGTCCTTGGGGGATGCCCAGCCCTTGAGCTCGCCGGTGAGCTTGACACCAATGACCTTGGGGCACTTGAGCTCCCACGGGATGCCAGCCATGACGTCGACAGCGTCAGCGCCGCCGACACCGATGGTGATGCCGCCGAGACCGCCGCCGTTGACAGTGTGACTGTCGGTGCCGATGAGCAGGCAGCCGGGGTAGACGTAGTTCTCGAGGAGAATCTGGTGGATGATGCCGCTGCCCGGCTTCCAGAAGCCGACGCCAAACTTGGCCGAGGCGGTGGCGAGGAAGTTGTAAACCTCCTTGTTGACGTCCTTGGCGCGAGCCAAATCCTCGGCAGAGCCCTTCTGGGCCTCGATGAGGTGATCGCAGTGCACGGTGGTGGGCACGGCGACGCGGGGCAGGCCGGACGAGATGAACTGGAGCATGGCCATCTGTGAATTGGAAGGAAGGAGGGGGGAAAAAAAAAAAGAGAAAAAGAGCATGTGGTAAGTTTTTTCCATTGTTCGCTACAATCCACACCAACGGCCCCCCCCCACCCCCAACCCCAGCCGATCGTTCCACACCATCCAAAACGCATCGCCAGAGGGCAAACAAGAAGCAATATCAAAAGGGGTTTACCTGAGCGGTGGCGTCCTGCATGGCGACGCGATCGGGGCGAAGCTTGAGGTAGGACTTGCCACGGACAATCTCCTGGTTCTTGGGGTCGTCGAGGTGACCGTAGACGATCTTCTCGGCAAGAGTGAGCGGGCGGTTGAGGCTGGATGGGTTTTGATCACACAGTGAGATTTGGATGAAGGGTTTTTTTTTTGTGGGATTTTTGCTGCTTACCGCTTCTTCACTTCGTGCAGCGTCGAGTCGAGCCGGGCATAGTTGACAAAGTCGTTCGGCTCCATGCGGCTCATGGGAACCTTAGAGGACAGCGTAGCGTAGCCAGCGCGAGCGACCTGCGGACGAGCAGACAGAGAGAGAGGGAAGTGGTCCAAGTGAAGTGGAGGATTATTTCGAAAAGTGAGTCCGTTGCAGTGACAGTCGATGTAACGGCTTCACCGGGCCCACTGAGCCGCGTGAGCGAGTGAAGCCACTCGAAGATTGAGCAAGTCGAATGGGAACGCAGTGCCAGTTGAGCGGCGACAAGAGAGCAGAGAGGCAGAGCGAGCAAAAAAAAGAAAGTGGAGAAACGAAAAAAAAAAAAAAAGAAAAAAAAAAAGCGAGATCTAGCGAATGTTCCGTCGAAAGCAAAAAGCGCTTGCTTGTTTGGTGCTGCGAATCGCGCACTGAAAGGCACACGAAGACGCAGCAGACAAGATAAAGTTCAACAGTGCTGGCGTGTGGAACGGCGCCGCAAATCAAGAAGCACGCTTTCTCAAAGTAGAAAAAACAAAAAAACAATAAAAAAAAAATAAAAAGCCAGCCGATCAAAAGCCGCTGAAAACAAGGTTTCCAATGGAAGGGGGCTGCGTCAGGTCGCAATGGTGAAACAGCCGAACGCACAAGTCAAGGACAACACGGCAAAAAAAACGAGGGGCGAAAAAACGGTCGAAATCGAAGCGACAGGCAAAACGAATGGGAAAAAAAAGAAAGCCGAACAAAAAAAAAAAAAAAAAAAAAAAAAAGCTTACACGTGAAACTGAGGCAGAGAACATTGTGAATAGAAAAAAAAAAAAAAAAAAAAAAATGAAGAATGGTTGAAGCGTTTCGTTAGGAAATTTAGTATGACTAAAACGTTCAACAAAAGGATTTTGTTCCCCAGAGCTGTTGTGTGCCCACATTTCGTCCCCTGCGTCAGATTCGCACGACGTTGTGGCCGCACAAACGTTGGGGGGGGGGGTGCTTTGACTGATGATCAACTCATCGATCTCTGCGTGCATTCAAGCACAAGAGGCAAGAGAGCGATGGAAAACTGAGAAAAGTGGAAATAAAGCAACAAAACCTGATGATAAATCTGGCAATTGCCGACATTCGCCTCGTGCTGCTCCGCTCCTTGAGGTCTCTATAGCTCTCTCCTTCAAGCGACAACGCCGCTGAGATGTTTCTTCCTACCCCGACGTGAACTGCGATTCGAGAGTCCAGCTGAAGCCGAAGGTGTGTTGGAATGCTTTTTTCGCAGATTTTGCACTGATTTTGAAATACCTCTCCCTAACCCTACCCCTAGCTTGAATGAAAAAGATGTTGTGGAATTGTACCCAATACTCGTATCTTCGTGGAACGATCTCTGATCGGGCTAGAGCGCTGTATTTTCAAAGTAAAACTGAAACAGAACAACCCAAAAATCAAACTCAGTTCTCCTTTGAAAACCAACCCTCCCCAAACTCCAACACCCACACTCCCATTACACACGACCGACTCGGAAAACGATGCCTGAAAGCACAGCAACTGCAAGCAGCAGCGCCAAGTGGGGCGACGTGCTCGACGAGGAGCTCGAATATGCCCACGACCTGCCAGCGCCTGGATCGCTGTCGGTGTCGCAATCGATCGGACAGCAGCAGCAGCACCAACAGCAGCAGCAGCAGCCCACCATCGACGCTGCATACGTGTCCAAGTACGCTGACGACGACGAGGACGAGCTCCCCGGCCTGCAGGTGGTTGGGCCCGACGCGAACGGGGTCAAGCTTGTTATTGAGCACCGACGGGACGACAACACTGGCGCCGTGGTGAAGGTGACGCGCAAGTTCCAGTTGTCCAAGCAGAAGACGACCCTGTCGCACGCCGAGGCCGAGCGCCGCCACTGGACCAAGTTTGGCGCCGAGACGGGAGCCAAGCCAGGCCCAGACCCAGCGACGACCATTGTGGCCGACGAGGTCTTCCTCGTCCTCACCGCCAAGAGCCACGAGCTCGGCACCGACGCCACCAGCGCGCCCCAGGACGAGAAGATCAAGCTCGCCACCGGTGCCGGCGGCGCCGTCGCAAGCAAGGCCGTCAGCTGCCGCATCTGCAAGGGCGATCACTGGACCACCCATTGCCCGCACAAGGAGCTCGCTGCCTCGCAAGACGACCTCGAGAAGGGTGAGGCACTGTCGTTTTGGTTGTGTGTGCGTGTTTGTGTTCTCGCGTTTCGAGGCAGGGACCAACAAGACCAAGCAGGCGAGCAGCAGCACAGCAATGCTTTTGACAAAGGAAAAAAAAAAAAAAAAAAAAATTGGGCAAAAACAGTTTTTTTTTTTTTTTTTTTTTTTTTTTTTTTTTTTTTTTTTGATTTGGCTGAAACAAGTTTTCAATCTTACAACATTGGGACGATTTGGCGTTGTTCTGCGTCGATCTACAGAGCAGATTATTTGTGCTGTGCTGACTTGTTGTTTTGTGTGTGTGTGTGTGTGTGTGTGTGTGTGTGTGTGTGTCTTGCTCTTTGATCTGGAACAGAGGAACGCGCAAAATCATTGCGCGAGCAAGTCCTCGACAAGGATGCCGCTGCGACCGGCGGCGCACAGCCCGGCAAGTACGTGCCCCCGAGCATGCGTGGTGCCGATGGCGCTCGCCGAGCACCTGGCGCTGATGCCCGAGGATCTTCCATGCGCGATCGTGGTGCGTTTTGATGCTTTTGTTGTTGCTATTGTCGTTGTTGCTGTTCTTGTCCTGTCGATCGATCGCTGGCTCACTTGCTTTCACCACCAACTCGCATTTCCCCTCGCGCAGACGACGCAAACACCATTCGCATTTCCAACCTCTCGGACGACACCCGCGAAAGCGACGTTGGCGACCTCTGCAGCCCGTTCGGCCGTGTGCAGCGCACCTTCTTGGTGCGCGACAAGGTCACTGGCGCCTCCAAGGGCTTTGCCTTTGTTAGCTTTGGATCCCGCGACGAGGCCGCAAAGGCCATCGAGAAGCTGCACGGCCACGGTTACGATCACTTGATTCTTAGCGTTGATTGGGCAAAGTAAGCCTTTTGTTGCTTTGTAGCAATGATGATGGAGATGGGGAGGGGAGAGAGAAGCTGTTTTTTTGTTTGCCCCTCTTTCCTGCAGAATCGAACAACGATGCTCATTTGTGTTGTTCATTCTGCTTGTAGGCCATCTCGCGATTAAGTCGACAGAACATGAAACAATCCATCCCAATCCAGCAGCTGGACTCTACTAGAACATACTCATTTTTCACGAGCATTGGCGATTCATTGTCAACAGGCCATTTGGCGCATTTTTCTCTCTTTCTTTCGTATTTTTTTTTTTGTTTGTTTGTTTCGTGTTTGTTGCTGCTCTCGCTTGTTTCCTTTTGCCACTTGACTTTTGCTCTCTTGCCGTGCACCCGCATTGTTCTCGTTGGATGGTTGATGGCTTTTCTTTGGGTTGGTTGTGCTTGAAGATGACTTAATCTCGATTTCAACATTGTTGCTTCCCCGCCTTCTCTCTCTCTCCTTCTTTCTGCCACGACTCACCTATTCGCTGTTTCGACCTGCTCTGTTCTCCCCGATCCTTGATTCTGTTGTTGACATTCGCTCCACACTCGTTTCCTATTTCTTGCTTCTCGAACTGCGTTTCGCTCATAATCAACGCCATCTCTCTCTTTTCGTTCGACCATCACCATCACCGATCACCCAACCTACTGTTATTTTTTTTATTTTCCCTCTTCTCAACTCACTCATACATCGAACATCACCCAACTTCCTCCAGAAGGAACGAACACACAGGCTCGCTTTGTTGAACAATAGCGACAAACACAAAAATGGACCAAGCCGCGTCCAGGCGTGCAGCGTCGCTCCTGGCATGGGCACGCCAGAACGGCGCCTACGTCTCGCCCCGATTGACCATGTTCACAGACCAAGGCGGCGCCGGCGCTGGGGTGGTCGCTGCGGCCGAGATCGCGCAGGCTGAGCTTCTGATTGCCGTTCCGCTCGAGACGCTCGCTGTCCAAGGCGACACGGCGCTCCTCTGCCACGGCGCAGGCGCAGTCGTGCAAACGCAGTCGTCCGAGTCGCCGCTTGTCTCGTTCGTCACAGTGTCAGAGAAGGGCGCTGGAGGCTACTGCGCAGCCACCGCGCGGCTCGAGCACTTGCCGCACAATAGTGGCAATGGCAATGGCGCCCCTCCGTCTGTAGGAGGAAGCCCGCCCGTCGCCGATCAAGGTGGGAACGAACTGCAACCGGCTGGACCAACAACCCAGCTTGCGCGACGGCCGTCACGCAATGCATCCGCGGCCAGTGGCAGGTACTCGTCAAGCTCATCGTCCAGCTCTCACTCGAATGCGGACAGCAGCAGCAGCAGCAGCAGGCGACCTGCTGCTTCAGCCGTTGCAATTGCACCAGCAGCGTCCAAAAAGGATCCAAAGTTTGGCTTTGGCGCACTGCCGGCATTCCTGCCACAGCCGGCTGAAAATCTCGTCGGAACGCCTTCCATCGTCTCGTCAACGCCACCTGTTTGGCCACCCGCATACTCTGCACGGACTCGCGATGCAGAGGCGGCACTGGCCAAGGACGCTGCATCGTTCAACACGCAGCGAGGCAACAACAGCCAAGGGGTGCCGCCAACGAGCTCGGAGCGGTTGACAACGTTTCTGGCAGAGCACCAGCCACCGCTGGCACCGTGGCTCCGTCTCGCACTCGTGACCATGCACGAACTGGGTCTAGGGGCGTCGTCCTGGTATCATGCGTACTTTGCCACGCTCCCGTCCGAGTTTACCACGCCGTCGTACTGGAACGACGAGCAGTGGGAGCTTGCACGCGGCACCACCGTGCACCACCTGTATCGACGCAACATGATTGAACAGCAGTATGAGGATTACGTGCGACCGCTCTTTGCCGAGTGTGCGTCCAACCCCAAGCTGGGCGCGCTCCTCGACCCCGCCATTCACACGCTCGAGGTCTTCCGACGCGCATCCAGCATCATTTCTTCTCGCGCCTTCAACTTGCAGTTGAACGAGAGGGGACTACCGCAGACGCTGCCACGGCCTGTGCTTGTCCCGCTCGCCGACCTTCTCAACCACTCCACGCGCGATGTCAACGTGGTTGTTGATTTGGTGATTGGCGGACCGCCCGTCGAGCTTGCGTCCACCACCACCACCACCACCACCTCGTCCACTGATGCAGACACAACCGTTGCTCCACCACTAGGTGCTGATGCTGCTACTGCTACTACTACTGCAGCTGCTACTACTGCTGCTGCAGGCGACGCCGCGTCTGCTCCGTTCAACCCTCGCGCTTCAACCTACCTTGCGCTGCGCGCGCTTCGTCCGATCGCGGCTGGGCAGGAGGTGCTCAACAACTACGGGTCGCTGGACAATGGCGATCTGGTGCAGCGCTATGGCTTTGTTGAGCGGCATGCGGCGCATCGACGCGTCTTTATTGAACTGTCGCTGGTAATGACGGTCGGCGAGCGATTGCACTTGCGCTGTGGCAGTCGGCGGTACCTGTTTGACGACAAAAAGAAGCTGCTCAAGCACAACAATTGCTTGGAGGACGCCTACGATCTGTGCGATCCAGGCCATGGCCGGAAGCTGCTGAGCGCCGTGCTGACGGTGTGCTTGATGAATGACCGCACCTTTACCGCCCTAGTGAACAACGTCGGGTACGATGCTGGGCAGGAGAGCATTCTCGTGCTTGGGCGCAGTCGATTTCCCAGCAACCCGCCGCAGGTCATGGCTGCCATGGCGTTTCTCTGCGAGGCCAAGCTGCAGAGCTACACGTCGTCGCTGGTCGAAGACCTCGAAGCGCTCGAGCAGCCTGCGCTCGATCCCGTGACGCGCGTTGTGCGGCAGCTGTGCGCCGAGGAAAAGCGTGTCGTGGCCAAGCTTGGTGTGGCCATTCGACGACACATCGTGGACATGCTGGCCAAGCCTTGCGGCGAAGGCTCGTATGGCTTTGCATCCGATGACCCAACCAACGGAGACAGCGACGAGTCCGAGCGGCTGGCCTCGCGCGCTCACCAACGCAAGGTTCAGTACCACCACGTTCGCAAGCTCCAAGCTGCCCGACGAGAGCGTCGTAGCACTCGGCAACAGATCAAATCCAAGCACCACCCTCACGCACCCGATGGACAGCAGGTTGCTGTCAATGGCCATGGACAGGAGGATGACGAGGACGAGGATGACGATGATGACGAGGACGACGACGAGACCAATATGACCGCCATCTCGGATGTCGACCCAGCGGCAGCGCACCCCAGGCGTGCATCTCAGGCTGGCTATCAATCCAGCGGAGCAAAGCTTGCTCGCTCGCCCAATTCTCTCACGCGCCAGCCGTCGACTCTTGAGCGCGCGCACTCGTCCAGCTCGTCCGGGGTGCCTGCCGGTCCAAGCAGCGGTAGCGAGGCGCCATTCTCCGACGACGCCCAACGCCGCTTGGACAAGTGGCTTTCCGACTCTGAGGGCAGCGAATATCGGTACGATGACGACGGCGCAGCATCCGCGACCGATGACGACGACGACGACGACGACGAGAGCGACTATGACGAGGACGACGAGTATGACTTTTACGAAGACGATGAAGACGATGATGTTGTCGAGGTGTCGTCCGTCGTTGCTCCCATTACGATTGCATCCGACGACAGCGATCCAAATCCAAGCGCGCCAATCGCCGCTACACCAGCCATCAAACGCCAAGCGTCCGAGCCTGCGCAAGCTCTCGTGACCAAGCGCGCTCGCACCTCATGAGCACGCACCTGCGCCAGCAGCAACTTTGGATTTCGGGTTGAGAAATCCACTCAATACTTTTGTTTTTGTTGTTTGTGTTCATTTTGAGTTGATTTTGCCACTCTTTCTGTTATTGAGTTGTTGATTTTTTTTGTTGATGTGCTGGTCTGACAATAGTAGCATCTTTGTGTCTTTGCACAGCTTGCTCGTTGCAATGCTTGAGAACCGAGCTGAGAAAACGCCAAATTCAGTTGGTTTTCAATTTTGACCCCTCGCCGCTCGTCCCGCCCGTTTGACAAGAGGAGGATTTTGTTTTTGTCCGTGTCTATCTCGAAACGCATCACCTCAGACTCTACCCCGACTTGCTCTGTTTGACTGATCAACCAAACTTCAAACAGTTCCAAACATCTTTTTGCAGAGGGGGGGTCCCAAAAACAGTGCAAAATCAGTGAAAAGACTATCCTGACACACACAATCCACGTCGGGGTAGACAGACACATCTGAGTTTTGCCGCTCAACAAACTAAGCAGCTCATTCATTTTATTATTCTTGTTGGTTTTTTTTTTTTTTTTTTTTTTGTTTGACTATTATCAGGTTTGTTCTACGGCGCTTCTTACAGATCGGATTACGATTTCCTTTTCTCTCTGACGCACATCTTGTCCTTGCGATTTTGGATTTTTTTTTTTTTTTTTTTTTTGTTTCCTCCTTCGCCCTCCGATACGTTTCCCTTCGCTTCCAACCCAAACCGCCCCGCAGCCCGTCTTCCCTCTTTCCGCAATGCTCATTTGCACCTTTGCAAAAACGCTGGTTGACTTGGCGCTGATTCGACTCGAGTGCAGCAAAGTGAAAGTCAAGTTAGTTGGCCGCAAACAGCCTTTTTTTTTTTTTTTTTTTTTTTTTTTTTTCCAAGTCTTCGTTCCATTCAATGCTTTTTGGTCCCAGTCATCACGACACTCGATTGCGACTCGCACAACGGGTTCACTTGATCGCTTGAATTGAAATGGTTGGTGGGGTCGCCATCTCTCTCTGTCGCTCTCTGTCTCATCTCGCTCGGGTTTTGCGTTGGGAAGATTTTAAGCTACGTGGTTTTTTTGTGGTCGTCCAGTCGTAGGTTGTCAGTTATTTCTGCGAGTTCCAGATGCAAGAGGTGTTTAGCGTTTTGGGGGGGGGGGGGAAGGGGACAAGCGACGACGAACGAGAGAGCGACTGTGGATGCGTTTGAGAGGTTACTGATCCGTTGGTCTCGATGCTATAGCAATTTCACGCTTATTTTCACTCTGCGTCATACGGCCTTGTTCACTGTGCCAGCTTACGGTTTTCTGACTTTTTGACTCTTCGACTTTCTTCCGCTTCCGCAGTATCGCTCGCTCACCCTGCGTCCAACCCTTTTTCTTTTGCAACAGACTCGCTCTCATTTCTTATCAACCGTCCCGCGTCAAACATGCAACCTGGCTGGCACTCGATCGAGCTCAACGGCACTGCGTTTGAGGTTCCAGGACGCTACACCCATCTCCATCCCATCGGCCTTGGTGCCTTTGGACAGGTCGTGTACGTTGACGTTGACAGCACTTACACACAGAGCTGCAGCGTGCTCTTGTTTGGTTGATGGACGTAGATACAGTGCTGTCACAAAAACGCTCATTCATGCATTCATTCATCACACAGGTCCGCCGACGACACGGTGACGGGCCAGAAGGTGGCCATCAAAAAGGTCATGAAGCCCTTCCAGACCGCCATCCATGCCAAGCGCACCTTCCGCGAGATCCGGCTTCTTCGCCACATGCACCACGAAAACGTAAGCGGCTTCTTCTCATTCTCGACCTTTCGACCTGTGGTGCTTGTCGTACCAATCTCGTAACCCGTCTCTCCGTTTTTTTTTTTTTTCGTTCGTGTTGAATCCACTCTAGATCATTGGACTGCACGACCTCTTTTCCACCGGAACGTCGGCAGAGACAATGAACGACGTCTACATTGTGACCGAATTGATGGGCGCAGACCTCAACAGCATTGTTCGCACGCAGACGTTGAGTGACGAGCATGTGTGCTTCCTCGTCTACCAGATTCTTCGCGGCCTGAAATACGTGCATTCTGCGGGTATCATTCACCGTGTAAGCCGGCAAAGCGCAAGAAAACACAATGAAAGCTTTTGTTGCTCATGACTCAACCTCGTTCTGCTTGAATGCTTTCACGGATGGACAGGACTTGAAGCCAGGCAACTTGGCAGTCAATGAAAACTGCGACTTGAAGGTGCGTTTCAGCTTGCGGCATTGTCAACGTGCAATCCTCGCGACTAGTTTCTCACAGCCCGGTTTTTTTTTCGTTCTGCCGTTCAGATTCTCGATTTTGGTCTTGCTCGAGTTGCCGATCCTGAAATGACGGGCTATGTCGCCACACGCTGGTACCGCGCTCCAGAGGTCATGCTCAGCTGGCGCAAATACGGACAAGGCTGTAAGCTCTCCTCTCTCTTGTAGCACTGATGGATGGATGAACTGGCGTGAGTCACTCACTCAACTTGGTGTTCTCGCAGTGGACATCTGGTCGGTTGGCTGCATCATGGCCGAGTTGATGTCTGGCACGCCACTCTTCCCCGGCTCCGATCGTACGTTGACCAAAACCGGTTGCGTTGTTCGCGACTGCTGAATTTTTATTCTGACTTGACGTTCTTCTTCATCCTCTTTTCTGTTTTTTGCGTCCTCCTTCGCTTTAGACGTCAACCAGCTCACGCTGATCAGCAACATTGTTGGATCGCCGTCCAAGGAGTTTGTTGATAATATTGAGAGCGAAACTGCACGAGCATACGTCCGCTCGATGCCGCACCGTGACAAGATTCCATTTGAGCGACTTTTTTCCCACGCCAATCCTCTCGGTAGGGGTGTGCGATCTGCATTGTGATACCCCGGCCCTGTGTCAGTTTCTCACACGTGTGTTTTTGTGGGTCTTGTTTTTCGTTTTTCTGGTTGCGCAGCCATCGACGTCTTGGACAAGATGCTCATTTTTGATTGTGAAAAACGCATCACCGCGGCCGACGCGCTGCGTCACCCTTACTTTTCGCAACTGCACGATCCTGACGATGAGGTGCGTTGAATTTTGTGCTTGGAGAGCGTTGTCTTGCAACGAGTTGGCTGACACGATGCATGAATTATGTTGCTTAGCCGGATTCGTCCACCCAGTTCGACGATTCGTACGAAGCTGCCGAGTTGACCACAGAAAAGTGGAGGGGTAAGTAGCGATTGTTGTGCGATTGATTTTTCGTGGTTTTTTTTTAAACTCACTCTGCATGCGATGCATTTTGTCTTTTCAGTATTGATTTGGGGCGATATTGTCACCTTCACCCCCGAAAATCGCTAAAAAAAAAAAAAAAAAAAGACAGTCTCTCTGCCCTTGTCATATTTCCTCGCTTTGTTCCATGATGATTATCGCTGCATGCGCGTACTGTGTTTGATTCCTTTGTGTTTGTTTTGTGTCGTTGTTCACTTGAATTTTTTGGCATTACAATTCGTCTAGTGTCTTTCATTTCTTCTTCCGTCAGCGGCATCTTTCCGCTCGCTCCATGTAGATTGTGAGTCGTGGACGTGGAAAACAACAACAACAACATCAACAACAACAACAACAAAAAAAAAACCTTTCGACATCTAATTCCTTAAATTACACCGGAAACAAACAAAAGGCACAAATACAAGCCAAACGACAAGCAAAAAATAATTTAGGCATGCGTGAACAAAACGTAACAGCTCCTGGTGTTACACACGCCAACCTCCTAATTTGCCGGAATGATTGTTATCCGCGAAAACACAGCCCAAGAGCCTTGGTCTGCTGTGACTGTAAACTTGAGCCCAGTAATGAGTCGGCTATCCTGCGACGTCCACTCAAACTTGGGACCGCTGGCGGAGAGGACCTCGCGAAAGTCGCTGACAGCGGCGTCGGTGGCAATCGCGAGCGCGCCATGCTCAACCAGATCGGCGGGCTTCGTGGGGTGGGACGTGTGAATGAGGACTTGGGAAATCTTCAACGGCATGTTGAACTGCACAATAAAGTACGACCCCTTGTGCACTGGTGCCCAGAACACGCGACGGTTGTTGTACCAGGGGCGCGGATCAAAGTTTGAGTAGTGATCAATGTTGGTCTTGATGACCGCCGGGGGATTGCGTGGCCAGTTTCTGCGATCCATGGGGAGCGCGTCGTTGACGGAATCATCAATGCCACCCGTCTCGCCGTCCTGGCGGAAGGAGGGATCGGTCAGGCGTTGAATCTTGCCGGGAAGCGTCGATTGCGTGCCAATGTGCTGGAACAGCGCGTACTTGGTGAGCAAGCGCGACCCCTGGGTCTTGATTTGGATAAAGTAGGTCATCAGGTAATCAACAGGCTGGTCGTAGTGGTAGAAGCGGAACATGGCGGCCATTTCCAGCAGCTCCGTGTCGCGGAAGAGCTTGCCAATGAAGCCGAGCCGGGAAAACTCGAGCATGGACCACGGCGGATTCATGTACGAAGACTCGTCCACGACAGCCAGAATGCTCGACGCAAAGTTGTCCGCCGCGAGGACGTCGTCCTCGAGCTGGAGATAGTAGTCGCCGCGACCCTTGCTGTACTCCATCAGCAGGGCAAAGTCAAAGCACTGCTTGGAGCGCCACTTGACACGGTCTTCCGGGTCGTTGAAGGTGCGGCGTGGCAGGGGCGTTGGGTAGACGGGATAGGCGCTCTTCTTGGCCGTAATCACGTCAATCAGGCCGTCGCGCACGTACGGCTCAAACTCGGGGTGGATGAACTGCGTGTAGATGGCCATCGCCTTGTTCTTGTCCATGTCAGCCAGGAAGATGACAATGAGCATGGCGTCCAGCTCCTCTTGCGAAGAGCGCGCAATCAGCGAGCGCAGCGTTTCGCTCAGATACGACTTGTTTTCCGGGCGAGCCAGCGTCGGAATGCCAACCACGAGCTTGACTGTTCAACCGGCACGTCAGAGACGTGAGTGGATGAGTTTGGGCGCATTTCGAGGTCTGCGTCGAGTAGGAAGTGAAATACAATAGAAAATCAAAAGAAAAAAAAAATCTTTCACGTCGACCAGATTTTTTTGTTTTCAAACCCTTCGATCAGAAAAGCTCTGTTCTTGCTCCAGTGTCTGTCTCCATGAGACTACAGACAATGCGGAAACAAAACAACAACAACAACAATAACCCACCTCCGTTGCGACGCGGGAGCAGGTGGCCTTCGCGGCGGACGAGGAAGACGTCGCTGGTCTGCCACGCAGGCTCGTTGGGGAGTGCGCGCGCGGCGGCGGCGAGCGGCGGCCCACCTGCAAACTCGAACGCCGGCTTCTGGTTGGCGGCCAGCTGCAGCGCCTGCTGAGCAGTCAGGCCGTCAGCGGGAGCGGCAGGCGCGTGCGTTGGGCACTGGCGAGCGGGGTAGTCGCGGACCTCGTCGCCGTTGTCGCCCAGTCCCTTCCGCCCGATCGCCGTCGCAGGACGCGGACACTCGCACGCGGCCATGCGGAACGACGGCGCAATTCCGTCCTCATTGGGCGACACGCCCGGTCGTGCGCGGCGCACAAACGTCGGCTGGCTCTGCGTCCACGGGCGATCCACCCGCGCCTCTGTGCAACGCCCAACATTTAGTCGAGAAGGAGAACGAGGAGACCCGACTCTTCACAGCGACTTACTTCGCATGTTGCAGACAACATTCACGCCGAGCGCGACAAAGAGCGCCAAGCCGAGAATGTAGATGATCAGTCTCCGTTGAGAAGCGCTCGCCATCCCTCTTGAAAACAAACAAAAACAGTGAAAAAAAAAAAGTGAAAAAGGGAGCTAAAAGCTTGGAAACTGAGACTGAACTGCAAAGAGGTTCGTTTGGGGGGTTTTCACATTTGGATCGAGGTATATTGGTTGGTAAAAGTACAAAGGGGCAAGGAGGTGGGGGGGGGGAATACAACAACGCAACGTGCTCAAACCAGCTCAGCAATGGACTTGTCGAGCAACGAGGAGACAGCTTCAAACAGCGTTGGGCAGTTTTGAGAAGTGTCTGTCGTCAAATCCACATTCTCCGGGACCATGAGGCGAAGCAGCGCACGCGATGCACCAGTGGTTGTGGTCGTGGAGAGATGCGCCGAGGAGGACGACGAGAAGAGCATCTGCAATCCGCCTGCGGCACCTTCCGAACCATCGACGCGCATTGCTTCCGCGGGACTTGCGTTGGTAGACGCCTCGTTGGTCGGAGGAGCTGTTTGGCCTGCCGCCGACCCGCGACCAATCACAGGAGTCGAGTCGAATTCCCATCCTCGAGTGTCGCCAGCGTACACGTCGTGTGTGATTGGAACATCCACGAACGAAGACTCGTCCTTGCGATCAATCAAACGGACCTGAAAACGATGGGGGGGGGGCGCGGGGTGGGAATAGTGCAGGTTAGAGAACGTCAGGAACGCTCATCCAAACACAGACGAGAAGAAGAAGAAGAAGAGGAAAAAAACGTACGACGAAGCGAAAGTACGCAGGAGCGACAAAAATGACAGGCTGGCCAGTGGCAGGAAGGTGCGTGGCCCACTCGAGCGACGGCGGCACACACCAGCAAATTTCAAGTCGAAGCGGCTTGGATTGGTCCTGGTCCTGTGCAGCGCAAGAACGGAAAGGCACCACCAAAAAAGAAATCAGCCGAGGATTTTACAAACGGAGCAACAACAACAACAACAACACATCGCGGAATTCTAGAGTTACCAGTTGGCAGGAAAGCAACTTGAAGAACTGGGTGCGAACAGTATCGGGAACTTGAGCAAGCCTGAGCATGGCAACAAAGGCGTGTGGGCGTCGAAGCCACTTTGAAGACTACAACGCCAATCGCAACCACAAACTACAAGTCAGCAAAAACGCCAACGACAAAACAAAAACCACAACAACAAGCCCTTGGTAGAACACAGTACTCACGTAGTGGAGTAAATAGCGGCGCAGAAGTTGATTTTCTGCCTCGGTGACTCCCGTTTTCGAAGCCAGTTGCAAGGAAAGCGCGTTGCCCAAGTGTTCCAACGACCACGTTTCTTGCGTTTTGGTGACAAGTGTCAACGCACTGAACGGCGACGGGCAGGATAGGTTTCCGGATTTGCTCACAATCTGCAATGCACAGCAGACGTAGAACGAGCAGCGAATGTGAGCAATCCAGCCAAAAAAAAATCAAAGAGAAAATGCTGCCGACTTCACTCCAACTCGTACCTGATCACGAGAGGCAAGAATAAAAGCCTGTCGCAGGCTCACTGCAGGCAGAGAATCTTCCAATAAAGCCTCGATTACAAGCGGAAGAACGTCCCCGCGGAAGGCGACCGGCGGTGTACCCGGAGAGTGATCCGAAACGGACAGGGGCGGCAGGCCGCGGTAGAACAACTCGGCAACGCGCGATGCACCGTTCTGAGACTGTCCTGCCGTGGAATTCGATGCTTGATACACGGATTCCACGCGACTTGTGATGCGCGCGTGGAAGGCACGCAATTGTGGGAATGGCACAACTCCGTTGTCTGTCAATCGTTGAGCTGGTGGTACTTTATCTGCGCCATCTGTGAATCAAAGCAAAAAAGGATGTTCAAAAAATGAGTCGCGGCTTTTGGTGCACAAGGAGCTGAGCCGCAGCGACAATCTGGTCAAACCACTGACCGTGAAGTGCAACAAAGCCGTTCGGAAGAATGTACAGCACAACGGAGAAGACGCCCCACAGAACCAGAGCAACGGAATCGATGGCATGAGGCAGAACAATGAGAGGCGTAGTTGACCGGAGCTGGCCAATGCAGCTGATTGACGGTGGAGCGGAGGTATGAGCCAGCAGTGCTTGCAGCGGTGCGAAAGTGATGAACAGATTCTGCGCAGCAAATCATCCAACAGTAAGACTCCTAGCACAAACACACAACCAAAAGAGGAGAGCACGGCGCCGACAACAAACCGGGTGGGCCCTGCGCCCTACCTTCAACAACAAGGTCAGATCGAAATGCCCGTTCAAATCGCTTTCGAGGAAGGGTGCAATCAACGAGTGTGGATTGTCGGCAGCCCCGTCCGACCCGCTCGTGCCAAAAGTCACAACGTAACGCAACGTTTGCGAATCAAAGCGAATGCTTGCAAACAACGAGTGGGTGACCTCGTTCACCACGCGTCCGTAGGAAATCACCAGCGTACGCATGTCAAAGGACGAAACCACGAAAAACCCGCCAAAGAACGATGCGGCCCAAAGAGCTGGGGCGCCCTTGGACGCGCAGTTGGGAAGAAGCACGCTGCCAGTTCGCCGAACGATGGCTGAAAGGGCCTCCTCGTTGGTGGATGCGTCGTTGGCCGCTCCATTGGGCTCGGAATCAAGTCCACTCGCGGTTGTGTCCAACAGCAGGCGGAGCGGAAGCGCCAAGCGGAGCATGATGCACGCCGCTCTCCACTCTTGCAAAAATCGGTGTCCTGCCGAGCTGAAGCTTGGGAAGACGAACGAAAGGCACTCGTTCCCGCCGTCGGAGCTGCTGCTTGAAGACCGTTGCAAGAAGCACGGCATCCCGGACTGCACGTTCGAGGACTGGTTGAGTTCAAAGCAGCCGCGCCCGAGCAGATAGGACGCGTCTTCGTGCAGAAGCATCACAACGCGCCATGCGTCACCCCCTGCATCGAGAGAAATAAGGCCCGAGCGGATGCAGGACGACAGGTTGCTGAGGGACATGTGATCGCGAGAAAACAACGACGCGGCCAGTCTGGTGGCAGTCGCAGGGGTCGAACTTGCGCCTACGCCTGCAGCAGCAGCAGCGGCAGCAGCAGCAGCAGCAGCAGACCCGAGTGCTGAAGTTCCCAAAGCCAATACACCGGAACCGGTCGCTGCCACGCCAGTTGGGTGTCCACCAGCCGCTCCAGCACCAGAGGTCGGTCGCTGCTGGAACGCAGTGCTGGGCGCGGGTTCGAGGGATGGGAGCACAAGAATGCTCAAATGTAGTGACAACGTGACGGGGCGCAGCGATGGAGACTGCAGTGTCATGGATGCTGGCAGACCACTGCTCGAGGTCGAGCTCCTCGCGGCTGTTGCAGCCAAAAAGTCTTCTGCCAGCGCAGGCGCGACCCAAACCACCAGCGGCGCGTGAGTCGCGTTGTGGTCGTTCACAATTCGTGTCGTGATACCAGCATGTTGGAACGAGTCCATGAGCGTCAGCAACGGCAGGTACACTCTGCAGAACTCGAGACGTGACGTAAACAGCCGACGCGCAAACAGCGTGGCATGTTGCCACGACCCGCTCACGCCCTGTTGTGAAAGAATGGGGCGCTCAGAAGACTGGGCACCACTCTGCTCGACAAGAAGCGTGCGCTCGCGCTTGACAGCCTGCTGCAGCGGGTCTGTTGCACGGCGCTTGTTTTGCGACCGCGATGCTGCCTTCCGGCCCACAATGTCTGCAAACTGCGCACTGGCGGCACTTTGCGTCACAATTTCCATGATGGCCTGGTCGACTGCAGCAATGTCGTGTGCCTTGTACACGAGCTCGACGGGTTTGAGCGAGTTGTTCGACCCAGAGGCCCCGCTCGTTGCACCCGCGCGCGACGAATAGGAGACGTCGTCGCTCGTCATCCACGGTGCAGAATCTTGCATGACGCGGAGCAGGTGCAGGCGCTCGGAAAAGTCCTCACCAACGTCGACCACAACAAAGTGATGGGTGTGGTGGGGCAGTTTGAGGAACAAGCGATTCTTGCTCAGTGTCGCGAGCAAATCGTGCGGTGAAAGTGGAAGGTGTGTCAGCGGCTCAAAGCCGAGTCTTCGGGCGTCGTGCTCGCAGCGGGCGAGAATGGCAATCTGCCGCATGGCGCTCAGCACATCACCAATCGAGATTTGGCTGTTGTTGAGCTCGCGCTCCAAGACGGCGATCTGCTGCTGAAAGCGCTTGCTGTTCACTGCAGCAAATAAATTGGCCCCGACGGAGTTTGCCTGCGGCGAGGTGGCGGAGCGAGTTGGGAGTAAGGTTGAGTGCTGTTGTTGCTGCTGCTGACTGGCCTCTCGCAGCAGGTAGCGGCCCGTTCGCGAGTCAACCAGCAAAGAAAAGTAGCTACCACTGTAGTAGCGAACCAGGAGGGCAGACAACGGTGCCAATTCGTCAATTTTGTCGACTTGCTCCAGCGATGATTCTAAGCGAACAGGAAAAAAACAAACCAAAAGGGCAAGACATACTCAGTGAACATGTCATGGAGTCAAGACAAAACGCAGGCATGTCAAAACAAAACGCAGACATGTCAGGTTACCTCGAATTTCAGTGACATCTTCGGAATAAATAAACTCTGAAAGTTGAATGCGGCGCAAGCGATGGCACATGGCAAGCAGCTTGGCGTGTTTGTGGTAGAATTGGGCAACTTGGAATAGCCGCTCAACGTTGAGATGATACATGGGCAGGTCGGTCTCCTACAAAATGACAAAGGTGAGACAAATTCGACTCAACCTCGAGCATCAATGCGCACAGCATCAGTTGGCCTCTTCTTACATGAATAGCCTCTTCGGTGCGCGGGTGGATTAAGGGAGGAGCGTGCCGACAGCGCAGCTTGCCGGTTTTGTCGGAAGGGAGCAGAACAGTCAGGCTGTGTTCGGTCACTAGTGGAGGGAGGTAGACCGCACTAGGCTGCACGGCACCGCCGGCGCGATGAGCTGCTGCTCCACCTTGACCGTGAGCAACTTCGAATTGCGCGAGCGGGCGTTGTGACTTCCAGAATGTCAGAGCAAGAGACTTTTCGGGTTCAAACGCCAACGCAACATGGTTGTACCAGGTTGAAACTTCAAGACGATGCGCCTGTTGGTGTAGTGAGACGAGTCGCAAGGATTGGGCGAAGGCGTGGAGCATGTCATACACCTCCTGCAGGGGCTTTCGGTTTCTGTGCAAGAATAGTCGGCCCTGGACGAGTTCAAGCAGCCCGGCCAGTTGCCGCGGTGATATCAAGTCGAATTGGTCTGATGCGGTAGAGGAGAAGGATTTGTTGGGGGTGAGGGGGTTGCTCGAGATGGAAAAACAAAAACGAAAAAAGAGCTGGACAGCAACAACAACCACAACACTCATTACCAGCAGGATTATCTCGCGTTTCGCTCTTCTGACGCGGCGAAGGCACAAGCAGCTCAATGGAGAGGATGCGCCAGAACAAGCTCTTTTCGTTTTCACCATCGATGGTCAATGCAATCTGAAAAATTGTCAGGCATGTTGAACACCGTGAGCAAGATCTACGCGCATACGCTCAAAACGATACAAAGCTGTGCAGGATGCGACGACGTGGGATTGGTTACCTTGAATTCGTAAGGGACTTCCAGCCAAACACGACCGTCGTTGACCAGAACTTGGCTAAAACCGTCTGGCACGAACGAGTCGACCAGCAGAATGCGGACAACATCGTTCAGCTGTTGGTACACACGCCGAATGTCCTTTCTATTCACCGTGATTGGCGGCACGATATCCTGGAAGCGCGTGGGAGAAGGCGGCGAAGCAAAACCAAAAAATTGATGAGCGAACAAACGGGTTTTTGACGAAATCAATATTCAGGTATGAAGCTTTACCGAAATCGCTTTCGGCATGCGAGTATATGACCCGGTGGAAAGTACATCGATTGCTGTCGAAAGCGCAAAAGCGGGCGTTCTAATGTGGAAATGCAAAACGAGGTCAGTTTCAAACGTTCTCGCTGCCAAAACAACCAGGGGATCGATGCGACGTACCGCGCATGCCCCAAATTACGATGCGTCCAGTACAGCGCATCGGCGGCAACCGTGAAACAAGCTGTTTGACTGTCGATGAATCGCATCAACTCCTGCGCAACGTTGAAACAACAAAACGAGTGAGTGTTCGCTTGCACTTGCCAACTTACTCGGACAGCCAAGCAAGAAATCGAGAGCACAGTGATGCTCTCGTTGCTAATCATCACGCCAACCTGTTTTTGGTCGTAGCGTGATCCTCCGAAAGCTAAACAGGCATACTTACCCAGACAGACTTCGTTTCGGCTGCCTTGGAAGCCCACTTGACGACGACGAGCAGTCGCACAAACATGCCACGCGTCCGCTGGACGTAATCAATGATTGCCATCTTGCGTTGCTTGTCTGGGAACTGCGGCAACCTGTGATGCATGCATGGACGTGGGGGGGGAGAGGATGAGCCGGATCAGCTGCGATCAATGGCGAGATCTCGGGCGCTTCTCTCTGTGGTCGTACAGTTCACTGAGCTTCATGAGCTCGCCGTGCGCCTTCTGGAGGAGCATCTCGACGAGTGCCGAGAGCGGGACGGACGGTCGGAAGGGCACCGCGGCCATCGGAGCAGCAGCAGCAGCAGCAGCCGAGACTGAGGCTGAAGCGCCAGCAGCAGACGAAGACGCCTCGGCAGACTGCATTGCCCCAAAACAACGAAGACTGAAGTGAGATTTTAAATGGAAATAGAATAGTGAGTGACGAAAGAACAATAATAACGATTTGGAAGAATACAGAAGAAGAAGATTCCAGTGGAAGTGAAGTGACGTGAAGTGAATGAACGTGAAGTGAGTGTGTGAGTGTGTGAGTGTGTGCAGATCGAAGTGTGTGAAGCGAGATGACGGGAGTGAAAAATGAGTCGCTTTGAGTTTCGGTGCTGAGAACTCTGAGAAAATCTGAGATTCAGTCCTAAAACCCCTTTTGGACAACTCCGATTCGGATTGTTGAGCTCTACCGGCGACCGTTGGATTCGATTTGACTTCGTGAACGACTCGCTGTGACAAATCCATACACAATGGCAATGGCAATGGCAGGACTGGGAGTGGGACTGGAGGAGCAGCCGCGATCGTTGGCGCTCATCGCGTTGTTGCGGCAGTTGTCGACGCTGAGCGCAGCATTGGACGAGGTATTGCCTCCCTCAACAACACCCCACTCGAACGTGAGTGACTAGAATCCGAAATTGCCGAGCTTACCTTTTGTGCCATGTATGTAATGTATGTCTGGGTCCAATTGGAGCAGACGACGATGCGGATACGGCAGGTCGAGCAGGACGCGCAGACTGCCGACGCCGCGCACGCCACAGCGCAAGCAAGCAAGACGGAAGCACTGCAGTCGCTTCAGACACACATTACAGGCTTACTGCGCAAGAAGGCCGAGCTCGTCTCGCGACTGCAGGCGCCGATCATGTCGGACGGGCTTCGCGTCGATGCCGCCTTCCACAGGTCAGCCGCTCTCACTGTCGGCTGTAGATGTGGGATGTTGCTCAAAAACAAGTATTGTCATCATTTGCATTTGGCGCCCTAACTGTTGGACGTTTGGCTTGCACAGCGAAACAGTCTCGCTGTTTACAACCATGGCTCAATCCTTGCAGCATTTGTCGGAGCGGCTCAAAGACATGGCGTGGATGAGCTCGTTCTCCCTTGCGGATGGTCGCTTGGTAAGAATGGCAGAATGTATCAGGGCGTTGGTTGCGACATGTGGCAAGTTTTTGGTGCTGACCCTCAGTTTTGTTGTGTTTGTGCTGCAAGGAAACGGCGCTCGATCATACTGCTGCAGTCATTTCAACCTACCAATCCACGTTCCAAGCATCAGTACAGCTCCAGCAAGCTGTGGCGTCATTGGCGGGGTCCACTGCATCCTCCGCAATGCAATAACGCGCAAGCGTTTTGGTGCGATTTCCGCAGTTGTCGCAATTGCCGCATTTTATTCAGTCTTGTTTTCTAGTGACGCGGTGAGCGTTGTGCCAGTCGCACGCATGATACTGCGCTCGGTGATTCGCAACGCATGACAATTGGAGTCTTTTTGATTGATTTTCAACGAAAACCCGATTGCCTCGATCGTTCTGCCGGCATGTGCCACTGCCATGTTGTGAGCTCGTCAATAACATTCCTCTCTTGATTCCAGCACCAACGCTCCTTCACACAAACTCCATCACAACTTCAACATTCTCAGCATCCAAACCAAATTCTTGGCATTGATCGTCGCTCCCAATCACTCCTCTTTTTTTGAATTTTTTTTTCGTCTTCTTTATTCCTCATCTCCTAGCTCACTCTTTGTATTTGCTGACTGACCATGTCCTTGCGTGGACTAAAGCGCTGTAACCGCAGCAATGCACTTCCCTATCAATTTTTGTTCCAATGGTGTTCTCACTGTCTTTTGCCCCTCGTCCTCCGTCTCGCTCCTCCTCCTTCCTCCTCCTTCTCATAGACGTCGATCTGCGACGGCGCAAACAGTCCGGCGCCGCGCCCGTCTCGTCCTCCTCTGCGTCGTCGTCGTCCTCGCTCGCAAGCGGCGGCAGCAGCAGCGGCTCAGTCGGATCTGCGCTCTCCTTCCTCAGCACGGCATCGTCCGCCACAGACTCGGACGACCTGCTTGCAGACGACTTTCAGCACCTGGATATCTCGTCGCGGCGGCTGCTCTCCTCGCTTCAGGTGAGGACGACCCGATTTCTCAATCCGTTTTGCACTTGCCATTATTCGTACTCGTTCCATGACCGGATGCTAACTCCCCCTTGTTGGACCCCCTTTTGGGCTCCTTTTTGTGTGAACAGGAGTACACGACGCTGCTGAGCCAGCTCGCCACCTGCCAAACAAGGCTCGGCGCAGAGTTTGTCGAATTGTTTGCAGACACGCCATTGTGGGAATTTAGCGTGCGCAATCGGGAAGTCCTCGACACGATTGGCAACCAAACAGCTCAGCTTGCCATGCATGTTCGTGAGAAGGTGTGTAAACGTGTGGTGAACGTGTGGTGAACGTGTGATTTGGCAACATTTGTCTCGGATGTTCTCACGCGAATCTACAAACAATCGCCCGGCAGGTCGTCGAGCCATTCAATCACCTCACTTCCGCATTTCCAGGAGTGAAAGAGGCCTTGGAAGAACGGCAAAAGCTTGTGGCGGCGTTTGAGAAGGCGCGCGACCGCTTTTTGCGCCACCGAGCCGCTCAGCAGACAGTCGCCTCCATCCAGACTGGAATTCTGAGCGGCAGCACTGCCATTTTGACCGCTTCGCCGCCGTCGACGATTATGACGGGTGGAGTGTCAACCACTTTGACGACTACCAATTCTTCTTCCTCCTTTGCGCCTGGAGCTGCTGGCGCTGCTGCCCAGTCACCCGCCCCTTCACAGCCAGGCCATTTGCAGCAACAACCACAGCTGCAACCAATGCAGCAACAGCAGCTCTCCGACGACGAAGTGATCAACTCGCTCACCGCGGCGAATGCAGCCACTCCCGAAGAAATCAAGCTCGTCAGTACGCGCGATGCTCTGGCCAACGCGACTCAGCGCACCATGGCGCAGTTGGAAGTCGTGCTCGACCGCCGGCTCGACACGTTTGCTCCGTGCGGTGTGCTGTTTGCCCAGTCCACGGCGCAGTACTACCAGACCTCGTCACAGTGCATCAACAACTTTACGTCGCACTATGTCAACAATGCACTTCACGACGCCATCAACGATGCCCTGTCTTTGGCAACGACGGGTCCACAGCCAGCGGCACAGCCACAGCTGAGTGTGCCTACGGGCGTTCTGTCTCGCGTGCTGCCGCAAATGACCATCACACCAGCCATGACAATGCTTCCGCCGTCCTTCTCCACCCACCGCGCGACGCTGACCTGGCTGGCGGCCAGCCATGCCAACCAAGAGCTGCGCTCCTTCTCGCACATCTCGCGGGAGGAGGTCCACGATTTGGCCACGACCTCGCGCGCCTCCATGATTGACCTCGAATCGGTGAATGGGCGCATCGACGCAGAGCTTACCCGTTACCTGCATGAGTTTTCCCGAGCGCCCGTTGGCAGCATCACCATCTACAATGGTTTTCATCGCAATCCCAAGGGCATCCAGCTTGCGCTCCGCGACTGCTGCACTGCTGTCGAAGCAGAGGGTGCGGGCACCGCCGTTGGCCTCGAATTGGATGCCAACGAGTCCTCTCGGCGATTTTCGTCGCAACTGGTTGTCGTGGATGAGCCCCTGGCGGGCAGTCCTGCGAGCGCGGAAGCCTCCGTCAATCAGCAACGCGAGAACGCCCAAGAGCAACTCGAGCGTGATGTCGCGCGGCTTGGTTACATCGTTGGTGAGTTGGCACAAAAACAAAAAACAGAGAGAAAGAGGGGTTTTTTTTGTGATTGGATTGTACTCACAGTGGCTTTCTTTTTGGTGGCGGCACTTTTGCCTTGCAACAGGACCGATGGTGCTCGAGGCGACGACAGATGGCAACAATCGGCAAAACTTTGAGGAAAAGATGCACGCCATCCGCTCTCTCCTCTGCCAGCAAAACCCAACCCTCGCTTCGTTGGTTTCGTCCGCTGACCTGGACATTTTCTTGCGTCGAGTCATGCTCGAGAGCAGTGCTACAGTTTCAAACTATGCCGCCAAGACTGCTGTGCAGCTCTTGTTTGGCAAAGCTCATTTGGTAATGAAATGCGAGTTGCTGCTGTTGCTTTTTTGCTGCTGTTGTTGCGAGAGAATGCTTACATGGCTGCACCCTTGATAAAAACAGGTACTCGTCAAGCCGAGCAATGATTCCGAGGACATTCATCCTGTGTGCGTCGACGTTGCCGGCTCGACCCTCAAAATGCATTGCCCTTCCACTTGGTATGCGTCGCGGTCGCTCGGCACGTGGTGATTCGTTGATGGTGCAACACTTTCTCTGACCTGCATTGCCGATCTTGGTTGGTTTTTGTGGAATTTTTGGTTTGTTTTGCGTCCTCAGGTACATTGTGGAAGACTTGCCATCACTCTCGCTCCTGTCGCGCAATTTCGACCCAGACGACGCACTTGGCATTGTGGACGCAGTTTATATTGCAACGTGCGACGTGTTTGACTTTGTCGACAATGATTATTCGGCCACCAAAAGCTTCCCGCTGCCTCAAATCGTGGTTTCGCGTCGCTCGTCGGGCGTCGACGCGACCCCGCCTCTGCAGCCGACGTCCGGGTCTGGCTCGACCTTGACGTCTCGGCCCTCGCTTTCACGCAAGGTGGACCGCATTCTGGCGAGTGCAAAAAAGCTGGGCCGGTCGACTGCCGCGCGCATCAACTCGAGCACGGGAAGCGGCTCTGCCTCTCCATCTGTAGCATCGCCTCATTCCTCTGCCTTCCTCACGTCCACGTCAGCCGCATCGGATGACGCGACCTCGGCAACCATGACTCCCACGACGACTGCGCCGGCAACACCAATGTCGGTGCCAGTGGTGGACTTGCTCGCTGGCGACAACCCACTGGTCGATGTCAGTCCCACCGCGGTGCCGCCGCTCCGGCCCCTGCCGCCCCGTGCCGAGGCATTCTCTGCAAAACCATGGCTTCCTCCGCCAAAGCCCCCGCGCACGGCCGCCAAAGCCGAAGTGTCCAAGGTGGTTGATTTTTTATGTGATACGGACCAGTCGCTGCTCCAGCCCGCGCGACCCGTGAGAACGTCCGTAAAGTGAGTGGTTTTTGCTGATTGTTTCTTGGTGTCGGGTTTTCTTTGTGAGGCTGGCTGTATCATTGATTGACGATGTTTGGGTTTTTTGTTGTTGTTGTTGTTAGCATGAGGCTATCGCAAGACAGCTCCCTGAGTGCAGAAGATTTGACATCGATTCTGGATGCCCCGATCGTAAGTCGGTTGTGGCAACAGCGTGCTTTGGCAGTTGATGCAGCATTTTAGTATTCACCTGTGTTTGTCTTCTGGTTTTGTTCCTCTCTTCCCCGCCCCCCCACCTCCGCTTAGCCTGAACTCGAACCTCCAGGGAGCGTCGGATCAAGTCGACGTGGAAGTTCGAAAAACCTGTGGGACGTACAGTGGGAAATTATGAATCGTGCCGATTTGCAAAACCGCACGTCCAATCCGGTGTCGCCACCCGCCTCTTCCCACTCGCGAGGCTCTCTCCCGTTCCGTACTTCTTTGCCAGCACAGCCAGCCGAGGCTGCTTTGCCAAGCTCGTTGCGAAAGCAGTCCGCGTCCATTGAGTCCTTTTCGAACGCCGCTCTGGTTGGATCTCCGCCTAAAGTTCCAGCGAGCGGCTTGCGTCACAGTGCAGACAGTCCTGCTCAAGTCAGCATCCCACCACCGGCAGTGCTTTTGCCAACCCCGGTCCCAGCCCCAGTATCAGCAGCAGCCCCAGCGCCTACCGCTCTTAGCGACGACGATGCTTGGGAGGCTGAATGGAACCGGCAGCAGACCCAATTGATGTAGAGGCGTCGTCTTTTGGCTGATTAGCTTTTTGTGTTTTTAGTACATTTAGAACGAAAACAAGGGGTGTTTGTTTTTCCAACGTCGTCGTCGTTGTGCGATCCAACCTGGAGGAATGGAGCGAATCGTTCGAATTCAAACACAAATTTCTGTCCATTATCTACTTGTACTGTACATATCGAAAGGATGTGCCAATTCCCAGTTTGTCGCCCGGTACATAACTGTTTCATTGGACCTTGCTCAGAGTCAGTCTGAGATGCTTTGTGCCTGCCCCAAATCCAAATGCTGCTCACTCTTTCCGCATGTCGTCCGGCCGGCGTCGCGCGGAAAAGTCGCTCGTCTGCCTGCTGCAGGCGCTCCACGGTCAACGCGTCTCGATTGAGCTGCATCGCGACATGCTCGCAACTGGCGATGTCGACGAGGTCGACGTCCACATGAAGTAACGAGCGCTCTCTTCTGCTCGTGTCGGGGTTTCGCCATTGAGCGAGTTCTCACAACGCCATGTCGTACTGCTTTCATTTTTTAAAGTGTTTTGCTGTACAATGTCGTTCTAGAACGCCTGGGCCATGGCGCGGAGCAGGTAGTAAGCTCAGTTTCTTTGGTCTGGTCGCTTGCTGCTCATGCGCCAATCTCGCTCACAATGACCATCACAACCTGAAGACTCGGGCTTCACATTTCGATACGTTTTTTGTTCAGGCAAAGCACATCCGTTATGTCCACTTGCCGGACGAGTTTGACGCCATTCAAGCACTCAACTATCGGGTGAGATTTTGGTTTTTGCATTATTGTTGGATTGAATCTTCAACGGCCATGTCTGAGCAACATCAACCGTGCACTTTTTTGTCAATCGATGTAGCTTGCAGAAGTCGATCGGATACGGCAGAATGCGAGCCGAAAGAAGCGCACACAAGTCCAGTTGCCGCCAAAATTGGCGCCAATCATTGGAGGTCGGCCGCCACCAGAGCTGCTGCCAGAGTACGCAGCAGCTCCGACCGCAACATCTGCACCCGGAGCTGGATCCAAGCAGGCAGCTGGGTCTGGAGATATTTTGCTGGATGAATCAGCGTCGTTGTGGGATGATTTCCAATGAGCGGAAAGAATCTGGCGTTTTTGCACCGATTGGTCGTGAATGTGGAGCAAGAGATCAGTTTTGTCCTCGCCAACTGAATTACTCCATCCGAAAGCGCGTTATTGTACACGAAACCAAGAAGAATCACAAAAGTACTCGCGCATTGTTGACTTTATGTTTAATGGTGTTACATCAACGAATCCTGCACGGCTTCGTAGCACTGTGGTGACAAGTACTCGCGCAGCTCTGACTTTGTCAGCCACTTGAACTCGACGTACTTGTTGGGGTTGACCACCACGGGGCCATTGAGGAACTGACCGCGGAAGAAGAACACCTGCAAAAAGGGACCAACAAAACAGAGAAAAATGAGTCAACAACCAATCGTTAGGCAAACCACATGACGACAAAGAACACGGAGGGTTTTGAATGCGCAGACTCACCGATGCCTTCAGACCAGCGTTGGCCTTGGCCTTGGCGACCTCGGCAGCGTCAAAGGCGGTGCCGGCAGCAGCAATTGCTGCTTCAACTTGCTGAGGAGTCGCCTTTGCCCGGCGAGCGGTCAAGCTGGCCTCATTCATGTGTTCTCGGCGGCTCATCTCGCGCTCGGCAAGCTCCGCTGGGGACGCGGGCCATGGCTCCTTGCGCAGCTTTGGCAAAAAGGCGGGCTTGTAGCTGCTCGGCAGCTTGTATTGAATCGCGGCGCATGGGCCAAATCCCCACCACTGGACCTCGGCATTGTTGCCAATGGCCTGACGCGAGACACGGTGCGTGCTCTGGATCAGGTACTCGTTCAAGAGCCGGTTGCCCTGCGGGAACTGCCAGGCGTGGTTTTTGCGGTCCTTGCGGACAATCAGGTAGAGGTGCTGGTCGAGCTTGCGCTTGAGCGAGGTTGTGTCGTTTGCAGCGTCGGCGGCGGTCGTGCGGCTTGCAGGCTCAAAGCCAGGAGGGTAGGTCTCTCGCGGCGGATCTGGGAGGCCGTCGGACTGGTTCCACTCGTACTCGGACAGGCCATTCTTCTCGGACTGCATCTTTTCATCAAACTCGACCATGGCGATCTCAATTGCATGCGGCGTCGGCACAATGACGGGGTACCGCTCGACAATCAGGCTGACCTTGATCACCTGGCCGTCCTCGCCCAGCTGGGCCTCTGTGAGATCGGGCAGCGTTATTTGTAGTGGCGGAGGGGGTGCTCTGTCCTTGGCTTTGACCTTCCAGTGGCGCTTGCGGGCCATGTCTAACGAAAAAGTCAACCAAAAGCAAGGTGAGTGAAGAGTTTGGCCCAGTCCAGCATGGTCCGCCCGTCGCAATCACAATCGTGGTTTCCGCAGAGTCCACTTTTTGGTCGTAGTTGAAATGGTCGCCGTGCACAGAGCAGCGGATCATTGAAACAACAGCGAGAGCATGAAGAGAAGCGCGTGGAGAGAGAGAGAATGCTCGACCAAAGCACTACTCACAGCGAACATGGCGGGGTGCAGCAAGACCGCCTCCGTACAGTGCAGATGCTGTGACTGCATTGGTGGTGGTGATGGGGGCGGTGGCTGAGGCGGCCGCGGCAGAGGTGAGCCGAGGGAGGACGGCAAGCTGCGAGAGAGATCTCGCCTTTGGCACAATCAGGAGACTCGGGCTCGATGGGCCTGCTGAGGCCGAGATGCAGGACGACGACGATGTGTGTGCGAGTGCCATGTGGGACATGGCCTGGGTCGCGGTGGCGGTGGTGGTGCACTGCCGAGTCGCGCTGACGAGCGTTCGCTGCAGCAGCATTTGGATAGAAAAGACTGAATGCGATTTCCCTCTCGTTTGTGAGGATGGATCAGAGTTTGGCGACATGCAAATGTGGCGTAGAACACTGAATAGAATTGAGCATCACAGCTGCATTGGAGGAGCAGGGATTCGTTGAACGTTGAATTTGGCTGAGCTCGGCGGTTTTGCTCCTGCCACCTGTGGGCGCGGTGAAAATGTACACAAAAGAAGCAATGTCGCTGCAAGTGGTTGAGAGACTCGCAGTAGCATCAGCAAGCCTCAGCGAGAATCAGGAGGAAAGCTAGACGAGAAACACCGCCAAACATCTCCGAACGCTTTTTGGCAACGATCAGTCCAACGAACCACAGAACAACGCGGTTCACAAGCACAAGCCAAAAGACTCATTGTGTGCTTGTTCACTTTGCTGTTGTGGCGTGCAGTGATGACGCAGCTGACTATGCATTTTGCAGAGCAGCGCCTCGTGAAGCGTTTCAAAAGTTTGGCTTCTCAAAACGCCCAATGCGGATTTCGGCTCAGTTATTTCCAGTCCTTCTTTTTTTTTTTTTTTTTTTTGGTCCTTGTGTTTTACCAGTCTTTGAAGTTTTTAACAAACACACAGAATGCCTGCCGATACCCTTCCCGAAGTTGCACCCTCCATCTCGCCAGCAGAGTCTGCGGCGACTGAAAAGCTGCCGGCATCAGCGGCTTCGGATGAAACGCCAGCCGAGCAATCTGGACGCGTCTTTGTCGAGCCTCCTGAGCCCTCGACGACGGATGGCATGAAAGCTGAGGATCTCGGCCGAGACGATCGCACTGGTGAGTGGAAGCTGCCAGTCAGTTGATGAGATGGGTGCAGCAGCACAGTTAAACTGTTGTTAGACTGTGCAACAACAAACCGAGAAGCGTTTTTGGGTTTTTTGTTTTCGTTTTGCAAAGATTTTTATTTCAACGCTCAACTCCGCCCCCTTATCCTCCAATACTGATCTGATTGTACATCTGTAAACCGTCTACCTGTTGACAGTTTTGATTCTGTGCCGCCTCAAGGAAGGCAGTCTGGCGCAGCAGCTTCGTGAAGAGCATCTCGCAGCAGTGGCGCGCTCTCAGAACTCGAGTGACGGACGACTACCCGCTGGCGAGCGCCCCATCCTGCCAACCAAAGGAAACAAGATGAAGAATCTGCGCACGGTCGAGTGCGCTCTGAATCAATGCTGGGGCTTTGCAGTGCTGCCAATCAAGCCGGACCCGAAAAGCAAGGACGTCCACAAGGCCGCCGCAGAAATCCTGGACTGTCATGTGGAAGAAGTCTACGTGCAGCACATTTCGCAGAATGTGTTTATTGTGTGCGACGCAGGTCTGATGCCGGCGTTGCTTCCGCTTGATCTGCATCACCAAATGCTGCAAATTTCTCGGTCGAATCAACAGCAGCAGCAGCAGCAGCAGCAGCAACAACAGTCGGCTCAGACCGCGCAAGAGTCCAACTAGAATGTGTGTGTGTGTGTGTGTTGATGCGTTCATATGACGCGGTCATGGTTGTGCATGTGTGGAATAAATGTTTATGGATTTGCCCAAACTAAGCGAACGGTAGTCGTTTATTTGTTGAAACCAACACACTGCTCAGATAATGCCGCCGGTGAGCTTCCGGGCGCCACTCCGCCGACCAGCGAACAATCCAAGTCAAAGTGAGCCATGGTGGTTTGTGGTGTTGCCGACAGAATCAAGTGCGTCGCTTCCGCGGAGAGGACGAACCACCGTAACAGGCACCATCAACGGGCGGGCCCCGTTCCAAGCGACCCTGGAGCCCGACGGCCAGCTGAGCCACTGGCTGAAGCTGAACGACGAGCTGCGCCGGGCAGCTGGTGCAGAGGAAGGCGACACGGTGGCTGTCGAGCTTCGTCCGGTTGAGACTGAGCCAGAACCTCAGATTCCCGACGACCTCGCAGCGGCACTCGCGGCAGCCCCACAAGCAGCCCGCGATGCCTGGAACCAGACAACAACGATTGCGCGTGTCGACTGGATTCACTGGATGACGTCCGCGAAGCAGCCCCGGACGCGAACAAAGCGCGTTGCCGATGCGTGCGACAAGCTTGCCAGCGGCAAGAAGCGGGTGTGCTGCTTTGATCCGTCGGGCCATTACAGCAAGGCATTCTGTGCGCCCGAGGCAGCCGACGAGTGAAGGGGCGAGCGAGGGAGGGATGATTTTGTTCGTGGACAGGCAATGATCGGAGATGCAGAGATTCTCCACAAGCTAAGCAAATCAAAGTCTGAGAACAACAACAGCAACAACATGTGTGTAAAAGTTGTTTGTAAATAAACATGTATTTAACTGGTGCTACAGACACTTCACGACGTTTGAATCTGCGAATGTCATTCGCGTTGGTAAGAATCCAACCCACCAGCCGTCGGTGGTGGCGCAGAGCTTGTTGCTGCACCGCTGTCGCCAGCAGCTGGAGGGGCGTGACGGCGCCGGGGACGAGTACGCAGCTTGCTGGCCAGGTAATACTTGAAATCAGGCAGTCGCTTGTTGAGACTGACGTACTCACAGTTGTGGAAGTTATCGAGTGCCTCAAATTGCTGGACAGACAGGCGAAAGTAACGCATCAGGAACAGCCGGATGGCAAGGCCGTGCGAAATAATGACGACATGCTGGGCCTTGCCATTCTCAAACTCGCGGAACAGCGACTCGAGGAAATTGCTCACCCGATCAAACACGTCCGCGCCACTCTCGCCGTTCAAAAAGCGGAAAAAGAAGGCGCCGACAAGTTCGCGCTGGGCTTGGATTGTCTTGTACCCATCAAGGGCCTGGAGATTGCCCCACTCTTGCTCGCGGATGCGCGGATCCTCGCGCATCGACACTTGGCCGGGATCAAAGTGGCGCACAATTTCGGCATAGGTCTCGCGCGTGCGTGCAAACGGCGACACGTAAAACAGCACCTTGTCGTCGCCAACCATGGCTTTGATTTCGCGACCAGCATGCGCGGCTTGCCGCTTGCCGTTTTCCGTCAGGCTGATCTGGCTGTCTGGCACCGTGGCATACACGGAGGCGTCGACATTTGCCTGCGACTCGCCGTGCCGAACCAGCACGATGCGTTTCGGACTCTTTTCGCGGTACAAGCGACGATGGTGCATGTCGACTTGCCGTGCGACATATCGCCAAAAGAGGTCGGTCCACGCCGTCGGCGGCGGAGGCTGCTGTGGGAGCGTGTCAAGCAGATAGGACACGGGAGGGTAGTATGGCAACGTCATGGGTATGCACAGCGGGTCGTTGGGATGGACCACCGGTGCCAGAGCGAGTAATGTGGCTGAATCCGGGGTGAGCGCAGAGTGGCTGAGGCTTGGAGCCGCGCCCGCAGAAGTGGGGTGCTCGTGTGATTGTGATTGTGACTGTGATTGTGACTGTGATTGTGATTGTAATTGTGACTTTGGCGGTGCTAATGACGCAGCATTGGTCGCTGCAGGACTGCTGGTAGTGACAGCAACGTTCGGGTTGGAATGGGCTTTTGCCGCTGCAGTCGCCGCGACGAGCGGATCGTCCAAGGCGGAAGGCTGGCTGAATTCGCCAAACGTTGGGGAGCCGGCGCGGGAAGGGGCCTGCGACCCTGCACGCGAATTCGACCGCGACACGAATGCAAACAGCGACGAAAGGGTCGCCGGGAGCCCTCCGAGCCGGGACCGCGGGCGGTCGTCGTTGTTGCAGGGCGGAGCAGTGACAATGACCATGGTCGTTGAGCTCCCCGCTCTGTCACAAGCACCAGAATCAGCAGTCCGACCGATGGACGATGCGCCTTGTTGCACTGTGGCCCTGTGCAGGTCGCAAAGCACTTCCAAATCCATGTCCGACGGCTGGTGCTCAGCGTCCAAGCAGAGGACGCACACGGGCGGAGTGGCACAGCGGCCATCGCCAGAAGACGAGCTTGAACCAGAAGCAGCAGCAGCAGCAGCAGCAGCAGCAGCAGCAGTTGACGAGGCAGAGTCGCGGGTGGGGCGGACAGCAACGGGGCGAGACAGCTGGCTGGCCGTGGCTGCGGTTGCGGTTAGAGCGCGCACGTTCGCAGCCACGGTCGCGGCGCCAGCAATGCATGCGAATGCCACAGCAGTCATCTCGATGGGCGAGAGCGCAGACAGGGACGCCGGTGCCTGAGGCGGATGACTCATGGACAACAAGCAGCGACCGGAATGAAAAGAGAGACTGAGACTGAGACGGAGACTGAGACTGAGACTGAGAAAGGGCAATCATCACCCAATAATTCTTCAATCCCTTCTCAACCTATACTTCTCAGAAATCCAACGCAAAGCACAATCACTCCACCTTTTCGTTTTTGAGATGGCCGTTTCGACGAGCAGCGCTGCTCAGCTGGCAGATTGGCTCCAGAACACTGTGCACTACCAGCCACCCGCCGCCGCCGCACATCCTCGGAGCACCCACGGTACAGCCAGTAGTGCCAGTGCACGCCCTGCCCCGCTGCAGCCGGACGCAGTCGAGTGGCTCTTTGGGACGAGCTCGCAAACCGACGCCTTCCTCAAGTGGCTCGTCCAAACCGTGCGCCCTGCGTCCGTCCTCTCGCCAGAAGACGCACTCGTGTATGTGTTTGTACTTGAGACTGCAGCCGCGCGATTCGCGTGTGACTGGCTCCCGTGTGCGTGGACACGAGACGGAGCTCAACGTTTCAGTTCCAACAGGCACTGTTTCAAACATTTCCCGCGCTTTTTTTTTTTTTTTTTGTTTCATTTCGTTTGGTTTTGTTTGACATGCAACAAAAGTGTTTCAGATCGAAGACGACGACGAAACACTTTTTGTTTCCAATACCAAAGTCAAAGTCGCTCCACAACGACAACATTCGGATTTTTTTTTCAAATTTCGATCGAATTGAAATTTTGCCCAAATGTACTGACTGTCTCGCATTTTTGCCTGTTGGTTGGACAGATCGCGGCAGCTCTTGGCGAACGGATCGAGATTTCTAACTGTGGGTTCCTTTTGTGGTGGATTTTGTTTGGGTAATGCTTGAATTAACCGGAATTGTTGCTTTTTTTTTGTTGTTGTTGTTGTTGTTGTTGTTGTTTTTGGCGGCTCCACAGGGGCAAGCGCTGGAACAAGCACTTGCAGCGTTGCAAAACGATGAAGACTGCGAGGACTCGGTCGAAAAGCTCGAGTATGTCGTCGTTGTTGATGTGCGTCTCAATCGTGCGGAAGCAATCTGCAACAATCTCACTTTGGCTACGACAGGAGCGATATTGCCGCGCTGACTGTCGAACTTGCGCAATGTAAACAGCAAGTTAGCATTGCATCTACGCAACGAGACAAACTCAGGTACGTGGGCTGAGCACTTGTTGCATTCGAAGAGCACACTTCAAGGTTTCTCACCCCCTCTCAGTCAACTGAGCAACCAGCTCTCAAGTCGCGCCTCGCACCTTCGGCAACTGGAAGTAGCGGAAGCAGCAGTGCTTACCGCCGACATGAAGAACTGCGAAAAGCTGAATGCCAATGTGAGGCCAACAGACAACTTGTTTTTTTCGCAAAGAAGAGACGCTCATTTTTGGCGATCGTAACGATGCAGATGAATGCCGTCTTCAATGACGTCTCCCAGGCCATTCATAAGGCGGTTGAGGCAACGAGTTCCAGCAGCAGTGAGATTGGTGAGTCCAGCACACGCTTTGCGGGCTGTTGACTGTTGTTGTTGGAGTTGTTAATGACTTGCCGTTTGTGCAATCCGAGTAGGGACAACCCTGTCGTCAATGGATTGCACCGAGTATAACGACTTTGAGCTCAAGTATTCATCTGCCATCAAGCAATATCATAGCCAGCGTTTCTTCAATGTAACTCGCATCGAGCCTTGCAGCATTTTTCCTCGCTTTGAGCAACGCTCAGTTTGATTTGGTGGGGCTATAGGGGGTTACGGAACACTTGTGCGCGACTCCTGCCTCACGGCACGAACTCTTGGACCGAATGCCGCCGGAAGCATTGCTCTTGAGTCGTAAGTTTCACTCGACACGACCCGGCTCCTGTCATGCCCTCATTTCGAGTCTTTCTGTTGTTTGTTCTACATTATAGCGGACAAACCCGAAATGAGCCATCACCAACAATCCGAGACCGAGCGGTTGGAGCATGCGTAAGACAGCACTGCTTTGTTGGATTTTTAATCTCGCCCCAACTCCTTCTCAAGATCCAACTCGATTGTCTCGATTCGACAGAATTCAAGAAGCAATTGTGGCCCATATTCAAGAGCTCAGCAATTTAGACGCCAGTGCTGCAAACGCCCAACAACTCCAGCGAGCTCTGCATGCTCTCAGTAGTCAGGCGTCGTTGTCAGCGGACGCAACCAATGCCAGGTAACGTCCAATTTCGTCGGTTGTGCACGTTCTCTCCAAACCGTATCCTGATATATTGCATTCGCTTCAGACAACAACTTGAGGACAAGCGGCATCGTGCTGAACAGGCTGATGTGCTCGCGCGAACTTTGCTCAACGAAGCGCAAGCCATGGCCGCGCCTCTCGCGCAAAAGCATACACTCCCTCTTCTGCTGACAGATTGTCGATTCAAGCTCTCGCGCCAGCATTATCTCGCAACGAATCTCGACACGGTAACAAGCTAGTTTTGTTTTTTGGTTCCGTTTTTTTTGTTTGTTTTTTTTCATTGAATCTATCTCTCGATGATGGCATCATATCCTGGCCATATGCTCACTATTTATGGCTGCTTGCTAGATTTCCAAACTACTCCTGGCGCAACAAGCTCGGCGCGAATTCTTACGCCTGAGTCTTGAGCTGGATGAAGGAACTCGCATTCACGAGCAAGGTCTCGTGCGTTCCCTTGTCGCATCGACCGAACTTGCGTCTTCTCAATTCCGGCAGCGCATGGTACAGAGCCTTGTGCAGAGCTTGAGATACTGTGCATTGCGTGTACTCACCATTGGGGGATTGCTTCCTTTTTGTGCCAGACTTTGCTGAGCGATCCACTCCTGTCCAACATTGCAGCCAACAAAAAGACAATCGATGAAAGCGACCCGACGCTCCTGCGCCTTCACGGCGTGTTGAGTCGAGGTATTGATGGGCCATTGTTTGTGTTTCCTTCTTTTTGTTTCAGCCCATGCATCATTCTCACTTTTTGGCACGCTGGTTGTCGCTCGTAGCCACGGCTGGATGGCGGTATGCATCCCTTGACAGCACTCAGGCTGATGTTGCCTCTTACGCCCAGCTGGTGCAATACGGTCGCCATTTGCAAGAGAGCACGCAATCCACCCTTCGTCGACTGGATGCCAGACATGCGCAGCGACAGCAGCATGTTGATGCCGTGTAAGTGTTGTGGGATTGCCAAGGCGTTTTGATGGTCTTCAGCATTACTTAACCTTCTCGGACTTTGTCGTTTCTAGAACAACGCAAATCGGCCAGCTCGAAAAGGTGCTTTACCAAGATGCCGCGACGCACGAAATCCGCCTTACCTCAAAAGTAATTTAGTGCAGGTGCTAGGGATAAGGTTTGCACACGGTTCTGAATGCTAACGCCTTACATTTTCTCCACCACGCACAGGACTTGCAGTCAACCATCGAAGAGTTGCTGCATTCGCTCGACCAGTTGGCCAAGGGCATGGACGAAGTCATTCAGCGACGCGAAAAATACCGACAGGTAATGCATTCATCTGCCTTACAAATCCCCCCTTTTGTGCTCAATCTCGCTTGCTCACCTTGACCTCGCGACAGGCACTCCTGGACGACCCTCTGCTGGACGCCCAACGATCCCTGTTTGTCCACTTTTTGCTCGAACCCGAGCAACTGTTGGCCAACATTAATCAACTGCAACAACGGTTGGCCAGCTATCAAGCTCGAAGCTAGCTGTGTTTGGTTTAAACTCATATAATTCAAACATTTCGGTGGTCATCCTTCCTCGTCTGTTGCCGAGTCTGCTAGTTGAAGAAACCATAATTAATGACTATAATACAAGCGAAACAAAAGAGCATTGCAACTATGCAAACCAAGCGTGTCGCATGGCGACGCGGGCAGTCGGCCGTTGACGAGGATCAATCATCAGCAGGGTGGATAAAAAGTCGACAAAGAGCGAGAAATCGTCCTGATCGTTTGGATGCACACCAGATTCCTGTAGAATGTCCCCAAGACGTCTGCTGACGGCGCGCACCAGGTAGGCTGGAGCGGTGGGGGAGTGGGGTGAGGAGGGCGACAAGAGCCCTCCGCCGCCTGCTGCCGCGGCCGTGGTCGTTGTCATACCACCCGAGCCGCCAGCTGCAACCGCGGTAGCGGTGGCGGCGGAACTCGCCTGCAGCAGCTTTGAAGGCGACGCTGGGACGGATTGTTTTTCGCGGCGGCGATCAAAGAGGAATGGAACGCCGTCGCGCACCACAAAGTAGGATGATACGGCGCTTCCAAACTGCAGCATGTCCGACGGGATGTTTCCGCGGCAGGCAATTATGCGTGCCAGCAGCGTGGCAATAGAGTCGCTGCGAAAGAGCACCCGGCCCATGAAGAGCTCGGCCAACACGCATCCCAGCGACCAGACGTCAATGCGGCCATCGAACGGCAAACCGAGAATAACTTCTGGAGCGCGGTACGGACGCGACTGAATGTAGTGCTGCTTGTTCAAGTTGACGTCCGTGACGCCCGGGAAGAGGTTGGCCGAACCGCTTGGCTTGTTGGGGTCGTCACTTGCGCTCGCATACGGGGAGAACAGGCTGCTGCCAAAGTCAATCAGTTTGACTTGTGCTTGGGAGCGGCTACGAAGCAAGATATTCTCCGGCTTGAGATCCGCATGAATAACCCCGCGGGCATGCGCAAAGGCGAGAGCCGTGAGCATTTGTTTGGCGATTTGCTTGAGACGGGCCAGCGTAAAGTACGGATCGGCTGCGTTCCGCGTGAGTTTCATCTGTTGGTAGAGATTGTGTCGCAGGAGCTCGCAAACGACCAGCAGATGCCCTCGGTACACAAAGTAGTCTGACAGCTTGACAATATGCACCGCGTCGACATCGACCCCGGCATTCAGGTACTTGAGCAAGCGGACCTCCTCGACGCCTTGGCTGAAGGCGTCGCTGGACTTTTTCAACACCTTGACGCACACTGGTGTGCCGCTGGTCAAATCGACGCAATGATACGCGCGCGAGAAGACGGCCGAGTCAAGAAGCTCGACCACTTGGTAGCGACCAGCCAGCACGTCTTGTGGCCTGATTTCCATTTCGCCGGCGCCGCCATCTGCCGGAACGAACGGAGCAGAATACGAGCCTGGAGGAAACGCGATCGCCCCTCCAAGACCCCCCGCGTTGCTCGCTGACGCACCCGCTGTAGAATCACTGGAATCCAGCCCGAGCGGCGCCTCAGTCACCCAAGCAGGGAAGACGCGATCAAAGATAAACCGGAGCGGAACAGCTTCAAAGCGCTCGAGATCCGAGCCGGTCGACGAGTAGCGGTCGCTGTTGTACTGCGAGGCACTGGCACCGGAGGAGTATGCGCTGAACGATGAGCTGCTGCTCGAGGCAAGTGGCAACTGGGAGCAGGACGAGTTTGGCGAGAGGTGCGACGACAGCGAGTCAAAGCTGTGACTGTCACGGCGGAGCGAGCTGGTCGGCACGGGCCAGCCTTCTCGGATGGTGCGCCGCGCAACGTAAGGCGACGATGGAGCTGGGTAGACTGGTGTGGATGAGCCTCCCAGCAGCGAGGTTGCACCGACAAGCGGCGAGGTTGCTTGCACCGTGGTCAGATCGTTCGCAGAGCTGTTCAGATTGTTCAACGAGCGCATCATCAGGCTGTCGGAGCTGGACGATCGCGAAGACGAACCGAGAAAGCTTGGGAACGAGGGACTGGGCGAGATGACGAGCGAGTCAAAGCTTTGGTGCATCTGGAGAGCTTGGAGGGTCTCGCGAGGCGTTGGGACGATGGACATGGACTGGGATCGCATCGATTTCGCAGAGACGAGTGGAGTCAGTACCTCCTCGAGCTCTTCGTCGTCATCTTCGCCCGATTGCTCAGCAAGCGATGACGTGCGGACGTGGGTGCGGTGCATCGGTGCAGAAGGCGTCAGCGTGTCGCCAAAGTCATCATTCTCTTCTTCTGCCGCTTCTGCTGCCTCCCTGTCTAGCGCGATGGAAGCAGCGACGGCCATGGCAACAGCAGCGTTGTTGGAAACTGGAGGGAGAAGCGCCGTCATTGTCGGAGCACTCAGAGTACGTGTGGGTGGCACGGCAGCAGCTTGACGAACTGCCGCAAAGGCTGGGGCGTCAAGGGCAACATCGACCGCGTTCACAGATGCTGACTTGCTTGCACTTGACGTCACCTCCGAGGGAATGGAAGCGGTCGGAAGAGAAGAAGAGGTCGAGGTCGGGCCAGCGATTGGCGCGGGCGAAGAGGCAGTGGCAGTGGCAGTCGGTGTGATGGCACTGGACGACAATGGAGAAGGCGTGTACGGAATGGAGCTTCCGGAACTGTGCGACCTCTGTCGCACATTGTTGCGTTTGACGAGCGAAGCGACAGCAAGTGACGGTGCGACGCCTCCTGCTGTGACTGCCGGACGGCCTCCAGCAGCCGAAGGGACAGGCGACTGCGACGGTTGTGCTGGTAAGGACTGCGAGGACTGTGCTGGAAGGGACTGCTGCGAGGCCTGGGCCACTGCAATCGAGGGCACCACCGTTGGAGCGGCAGGTGGCGAATTGGTCGTCAATAGAGGCGGTGATTGCTGCACAGCGGACTCAGACGAAACGGGAATCGAGCTTGAGGAGGACGCTGATGACAAGTTGGAAGGAGGAAGGAATGGTTGGGCAGCCGGAGAGAGAAACGGGAGCGAAGGTCGACGCTCGAGCATTCGCGCGCTCGCCAAAGGATGGCCAGAAGCAGGTCCAGTGGCCAGAGCCGTGCCGAGCGGGGAGAGAACACTTTGGGTGCCAAACGACCGCGACCGTGAATTGATGCTGCGTGGTTTGGAGAACATCTCGGAAGTGGCGGGCCACGAGGCAAAGGCGGATGGAGACAGCGGCGATGCTTCAGAGCCAGCGGCAGTCACAGCAACGGAGGAGCCCAAGTGCTGCTTGGATGCATTCGCCATGGCTGCTTGCCACACCAAATTGGGAACGCTAGGACGTCGACCGACTTGTCGAAGGAGCGCCGTCAGCTCTGCTTCGTCGATGGGCTCAAAGTTCAGATCGTCATCCACGAGCAACGACGAGTACGACCGCTGCTTGAAAATCGCGGCATTTGAGAGTTGCGAGACACGAAGCGACGTTGGCGTGGACGAAGAGCTCGACAAGGATGCCAGGGATGGTAATGAAGGGCTCTGGGTCGCTGAAATCAAGCGACCAGTCACAGTGCCCGAGCTGAACCCCGACGATGCTGCGGTGGTCGTGAGTGATGACGTGCTGGCTCGGTTGCCAGGCGGACCTCCTCCCGCTAGAGATCCGAGGAACGAGCCTGGTTGACCCGCGTCCTTGCCGTCGTTCAATACAGAGAACGACGTGCTTTTGAGCGATGACTGGCTGCGAGTGTCAATGTTTGCCAGCGACGAAGGAGGCATAGCAATGCTCTGTTCAACCCGGTCGGCGCCTTGGCTGAGCGCGCGGCGACGGATGAGTCGCTTTTGGAAAATGGTCGTGGGTGCAGCCAGCGCCTCCAACGAGCCACTTGCCTTTGTCGCACCCCCGACCTCGACTTGTAGTGTCGGTAAGGGGTATAACTGCAGCTGTGTCAGAAACGCTGCCCGCTTTGATGCGACCGTCGGACGAGTTTCGACTTGGAGACGTGTCCGGGGACAGTCTGCTTCATGG